TATGTTTTCCAAGTATGAATCTTTGTTTCTGGTAAGTTTCAGCCATATAACTGATGACCATATAAAAAGTCCCATTTTTAGGGTGTGGTCGGACATACTTTAGAGCGATCTGACTTGGGGAAAGCCCCCAAATTTTTGGTTAGATTTTTGAAAATTGTATTTACCAAGTGTGGATCTTTGTTTCTGGTAGGTTTCAGCCATGTAACTTATGACCATATAAAAAGCCCCATTTTTAGGGCGTGGTCGGACATACTTTAGAGCGATCTGACTTGGGGAAAGCCCCCAAATTTTTGGTTAGATTTTTGAAAATTGTATTTACAAAGTGTGGATCTTTGTTTCTGGTAAGTTTCAGCCATGTAACTTATGACCATATTATTAGCCCCGTGAGGCGATATTGGGCGTGGTCTGACTTGGGGAAAGCCCCGGAAATTTTGGTTAGATTTGTGAAATATTTACTCCGACTATGGATACCATTGTCCCTACAAAGTTTCAGCCATGTAACTTATGACCTAATTAATAACTGTAATTCTCTTTTAATTGGCATTGCCAGCAGATTGATAGATAAACTTCAAAAGGTGCAGAATAATGCTGCCAGACTTATAAGTAGAACCAGTTTTAATGACCACATTACTCCGGTTTTATACCATTTACACTGGCTCCCTGTTCGTTTAAGAATCCGTTTTAAAACACTTTTATTAACTTATAAATGTCTTAATCACATGGCACCTTCTTATTTGAGCAGCCTATTAGAATTATATACTCCTAGTCGTACTTTGCGGTCATCCTCTGGTAATTAAAAGACCTGTTCGACGTGTGGAACAGCTTACCCCTGAGTGTCTGTAATTCGCTGTCCTTGTCTACATTTAAAACACGTCTCAAAACGCACTTTTTAATGAAGCATTTCAATAATTTAATTGTATTTACACTAAACAATGTTACAATATAAATTATAGCTGTGATAATTATCTTTTATTTTTTGTCTTTCCTTTGTTTTACTATAATTCTTACTTTTATTTTAACATTTTTTTATATTCTATACACTTGTCTATATGGAAATGTTTTAAGAATTTTAAATGTACGTGCCTTTCCTATTGTATCTTGTACCTTACCTGTATATTCCTTTTGTATTTATGTTTTTCTATTTTCATATTTGCTTTGATATCTGTGTAAAGCGCGCTGGGGCACAGTACTGTGGAAGTGGCGCTATATAAATCCATAACGCATCTATTGTAGCAATGATCTCTATGATAAAATAATATTTGGAACGTGTTTAACCAGTTCTATTACATATATGATAATGACGGACACCAATATTTTCCTTTAAATAGGATATAGACGAAACGGCACTAATCCAAAACGACCAAATCTTATATGACTGTGAAGTTAAAACGAACGAAAACAAAACGGCCAAAAATTTGATAAAAATTTACCTAAAATATACATCAGTGGGTTCTTACCTAAAGGGCGTATGGCTCTATTTTTGGAACCTTGAAATATACAAAAATGGTTCTATAAGCACATATTAATGTAATATGAATATATGTAAAGTGATTTATATTCAATTTTTGACAAAAAAATATTGTAATTGATAATCAAATAAGTTCGGTGAATTATGCGAACAGTTCAATCTGTTTGCGCCTGCTTAGTGCATTCTACACGATTTTTAAATTATTATTTTGTCCTTTGTGAACCAGTTCTTACTTATTATTTTCTCATGCTCTTGTATTATATGGTTTTATTTGTTCATTACAAAATGGCACCCGAAACCATAGGGTACACTAATCGTGTACTGATTATAAAATGTTAATTGTGTCTTAAATATTGAATATTAGGATCCTCTAGTTTCACGGCAAGATAACATCACCAATATTGGTTGAAATTGATCAATATTGAATTCTAATTCGTGTTTTTAATTTGAAATATTATGGAAAATATTGAGCAGGAGACTTAGCTCCTTTAAACATATATTTTGCAAGAGCTAAATCTGACTATTGCAGGTATTTCTTTTGGCCTTAAATGTTATATAAACTGTTAATTAGTTTAGCGATTTTTTTTCCATTTCAACAGAAAATTAAAAACTGTGCGAAGTCAAAACGAACGAAAACAAACACCATTTTTATGGTTAATCATCAACGACCGTTGAACAGCAGATATGATTCAAATCTTGTCATGTTAATAAAATTTATTAACACAGTCATTAATTTTCTGTTGAAATGGAAAAAATCGCTAAACTTGGTAACTTCTGCAGGCAATAAAATTATGTAAAGTCAAAACAAAGGAAAACAAAAACAGCCAAAAATCAAAATTTAAAGACATTTTCCAAAAAATATAAATAGCGTTCTTTGGCTTCATTGAGAGCATTAAAATTGATGAATCATGATAGTAATATGAAGTGTTTCGAGATAAGAGATGATGCTATTACCTTCAATGTAACACATGCGGGAGCGATTCGCACCCAGCATTTGTAAATCAAAACAACGATTGGTTATTGTTATTTATAATATTTCTGCCACACCCAACTACAATTAAGCATATAATCCTACCTACAAATCCCCTCTTTTTAAATCAAAGCGACAGTAGATTGCTTTTTCCGACATTATAAATTTACGTCTGTAACACATAAAGGCGGGGCCTCGTGTGCAATAGCCAATCAAAGTACCCATCTGATCAGAGTTGCGCAGTAGTAATACGCCGTAATTATGAACGTTCGAATCAATTTTGATACCCCCCCCCCCCCCAAAAAAAACCGCTTGATTTACTTTATTGTCAATATTTGCTGATAAATGAATGTTGTGTCAGTAGATTGGACTGGGTATGTGTAATAAGTACTAATAGTATGATATTAACTTATTTTTAAGATGGTACATACATTAATAAAGAAATTGAGTTTGCCACTTGGAACTAAAGGCATCCAATCGTAGCTAAAAACATGCACATCAGTATATCTCCGCGTTTTTAGTTACGTTCTCGTAGCTAGAAGTTAAAGATACATTATGGGAGATAAGATAAAGAGATGGCAGTTCTCGCTATAATAGTTAAAAACTAGATAGTGTAAAGGTAATTTGCTGAAAATTTCAGTCAAATTGATCCACTATGAGCCGAGAAAGAAGCGGATGAAATTTTTGCATAGTCTCGGTTATCATTACTAAAATCATAAACAGCATAGTCTCGATTATCCACTTTTTCTGATTTAATTATCTTTGGCCGTTAGCGGCATATAGGAATCTAATCCAGCCTACATCGAAGGCTAGCCTTGACATCGAGAGTTTGTTATGGTCTGGATAAGTTAATTAATATCTAATTGATAATTTAGATAACATTTCAGGCCTAAAGAAAAACTTGTAATAAGCAGATTTTGCTCTTGCATAATGCATGTTTAATAAGAGTATGAACTTTATGATTTTAATGGAGGCATGAAAATAACAGAATGAAACTTTTCAGACAAAAAACGAATAGTAATTATAATAACACAGGTTAAACATATATATGTTATACATATTTGAAATCACCGAAACATAATACAGATTTTGATAATACAATTAAATATAAATGAATTAGAAATATATACATTACTTACATAAATCATTCAGTACATGGATATGGTTATCTACCCTTATAAAAACGAAGGCGAAACGACGTGTTTGTAAACTGTTTTTTGATTGGTTCGTAGACTATACCTACAATCCAGGCCAGGGCAGATAATTTGAAACCGTGGATCCCTATGGATTAACCCAGGGTATAGTGGAGTAGAACGGAATGAGTACACTGGGTATACCGAGGATGACATCAATGAAGGTGGAGTTCGAATTTCGTAAAAATCTGACTAAAACTGCCAGACAAAATGGCCGCCCCTTTACGCAAATAATGTAAAATTATGTAATATCAAGCTTGTGGGCACTCTAGAAGTCACAATTTTTGTCCGATTTTGATGAAACCCGAAATGTATGATTATAATCTAAAGATCTTGGTTTCTTTCGATATTTGCGCATATCGGACTACAACTTCCTGAATTGTGGACCGTTACACCCGGTTGAGTTCGAATTTCGTGAAAATTGAACGAAACTGCCTGACAAAATGACCGCTCCTTGTACGCAAATAGTGTAAAATTATACCAAGTTTGCGGACCCTCTAGAAGTCACAATTTTTATCTGATTTTGATGAAACGTAATATCTTTTTATCCCAAATATCTCAGCCCCTTTCGATATTCGCGCATTTCAGACCATAACTTCCTGGATTATAGCCCCTGATTGTACGAACATTAGCTTTTTTTTTCTTTTTTTTTTTGATCTCTACCCATCTCTTGCAAAATGTGAGTACTCTTTTCTCTATTTTCTAGTTATTTTTAGGCTCTGTCATTCGGATCGTCGATTTATTCGTCCACGTTTCACTCGGCAAACCTAGCTGCGGAGGTTTGCCGAGCCGAGTGGTCCACGATAGTGATTCATCCGCAATGATGACATTTTCGACAATTGAATAACGGCCCATTCAAATTCCATTGTGGACCGGTTGCTCACTACACCCGCAATGCATTTTGTTTGCGTGGATAATAAAGGCTAGTTTATTTCATGATCCGCTTTCGCCATTCTCTGATCAATCCCCATTCATTTCGTGTTTTGGGCTAAATCTATTTGTTATGGCCAGCTCAGTTTTCGTCAAGGTCACTGAGAGTGAGATGTAAACGAGGTTAGGGCACGTGATTGCAGGCGAGATTGTACGTTAGGGTGAGGGTAAGCACTAGGGCTAGGTCCAGGGTTAGGGATAGGATTAGCTCTAGAGCTGTTTACATCTCGTGACCTTTGACGAAACTTGATGTTGGCCTTATCAAATAGACCTAACCTTCGTAAAAGCTCTGGGAGGTCTTTGTGATCATTATTGGTTGATAAAATCAAAGATATTAAAAAAGCTGGAAAATATAATGAAAAACTAATGTTTTGTTCGATATTTTTAATTATAATTATTTAAGAGATTTTTGAGACAATACAAGCGCGTACTGTCATTGATTATCTTTAATTTTGACTAATTTCTCCCCATAGAAACATCCGGTCTGTGGCAAGATGGCTGATCTTGCTGCCAAGTATCAAAAATTAGCAGCCGAATATTCAAAGGTTGGGAGTTACTGCTTATACATTTAATATTAGGAGAGGTCATCAAAATGAATTAACTTTCAGAGTGAATTTGTGTCCGCTCCATTCTAAATCAATTCAGGGTATCGACTCCCCTCGCCATCTAATCATTTCCGAACACGCCCCCTTGGACCTTCTCTTGGCCCAAGACTTGGGAGCTATGGGGCACGGTGGCTCAGTGGGCATGGTGCTACCGCTGGTTCACTTGCAAGGAAGTAGTGGGTTTGATCCTTTTGTTAGCTGAGAAAATTCCTCAGGCTACATCAGTTTGGTTTCAGTGGTGCAGGTTTGAGGGCCTGACAAGTTGTTTGATAAATCATAAGAATTAAGATCTGCCTGGGACCGTGCTCTTGTTAACATGCACAAAACAAGCCTTGACAATTGGAATTCGATGAAGAGAAGCTTGAAATTCAGCTATCTTTGGAAGTTTCTCACATAGTTCTCCATTCCAAGTAGGACATTAAACCCAATTTTCTTTAATTTCCTTTCTTCTAGTTCTTGACTCTTCTTCTTATTTTTGAATATTGTTCTTGCATATGACTTCCTATTTCTCCTATAATTGTTTTTATTTACTAATTCGATTAGAATATGTATGTTATCCATACTGAATACAGCGATGCATCTACTTCATACCTCGAGAATACATCACTGCACTAAATGATGTCCATTTAAAACGCTCACGTGATCATTTTGGGGCGGGACTTATCGACTTGTACAGTCAATGGCGTATATATACTGCTATTTATACCCGAAGCATGTGGTTTATGTAAACAAATATAATATGTCAAGTTAGCAAAATGTCGACTTCTGCTACCTCTGGTAAAAGCGATATATAATATGTGCTAATGGATGATATTGCAATACAGTCTTATCATTGTAAACTATCTTTAGATTTTCAATCTGTTTATCTTTCAAAACAAGGTTAGATACTCCTAAATTTGTCTTCGCAAACAAAGCCGCTTCTGTGAAGGTATCTTTCATGGGCGCTGCCATATTGAATAATTAGTGGACTATTTCTTACTTTGGCTCTAATCCATTTGACATCTTTCATAACGGCTAAATAAACATATTAAATTTCATTCAATATGAAAATAGAAGAGAAATAAATATTTCTAAAGGCATACTCAATGTTTTCGACTAAAATTGTCAATGTAGGAATTAAAATGTCGGTTAATTAGGAATGTCCTGTTCTCAGGCGGAGCTAACTGTAGGCAGGCAGCCTAAGTTTGGGATGGTATGTTATATATATTCTGACATTTTAGTGAGATGAACTATGTTAATAGCGACACTAAAGGATTTTTAGCCTACACAAAATGTCTCTAAAATGAATCCAAAAAAGTTTTGAAAAAATATTGAAAATTATAAAAGAATATACCAATTTTAAGATCATGAACTGGAAGCATTGAAATGTGGCTTTTTAAAAAACAGAAAAAAATGGATCAAAGCTAATATCTTGGAAGCTACAAATGGTAGATACAGGAAACTTGTAGAAATGGAAGTTCAAGATGTACTTGATTACCGGTAACTGAAATGTCATAGTCTTTTCTACTGTATAGTTTTTATGCCACAGACTCTTAAAAGTTACGATCAAGGTCATTGCAAAAAAATTGACAAATTGGTTTATAACCAAACATGCTGAACTCTCTGAGCCTTAATATCTATACACAGTGTGTTATGTGCAAGCCTGGACATAGTCATAAGGCACCTGTCACAGACATTGTCATACACAAGCTATCACACAATGTATATATACTCTTTAAAAAAAAGTAGGGGATATTCAGAAACAATACAAAACTGCAGAAATGCACTGCTGTTTTTATTAGAGGTAACCAGTGTATGTTAATAACTAACAGGCCAATTGCCTACGCATGAACATAAAGAGTTCATATGGGCGGCTTATCTGACGGCCCCATTTCACGCGCAAAGAGATACACGGTCAAAAGTGAAAATGGACATTTTTGATTTTTGTCTTAATAATGAGTAATTGCTCCACCAATCCTCAGGCATTCAGCAATTCGTCGTGGCATGCTCCTAATCAACCGTCTAATCACGATTTGGGGCAATCTGACCCACTCCTCTTGCAGTGCCACGGTCAATTCTTGCAGTGTTGTCGGTTGATGTTGACGTCGATGAACATGTTTCCCGATCAAATTAAACGTAACACACTAAAGCAAAGATATGCTAAACAGTAAATCTTATGCAAGAACCGATAGGAAAGCAAACATGGATAGGATAAACCAGCAAAGGACAGTTTTCATCAACCCTTCCTTGAAGTGTCAAATTTGACAATGAACCCCTCCCACGTGTATGGCGCTATTGCGTGTCGCATGTGCAGTTCAGTGGTTCTGTTGGGGCGACAAGTTCTTCATCTGTGAACATACTCTCAAAGCATGTCAAGTGTCCATGACCAATTATCATATCACAACCTGCATAGGTATTTGCATTTCAATATCCCCTACTTTTTTTGAAGAGTATATTATAATATAAACCTTGTGTGATAATTTGTGTCTAACAATACCTGTGACAGGTGCAGTATGTCCATAATTGTATGTGGGACGATTTACGCTTGATAAAGTCTGTGACGGGTGCCTTATGTCCAGGTAGGTTATGTGGTATGATAAACACACATTGAGTGTCTTCAGGTTGTTTTTTTTTTATGTGACCATACCTTGTAAACGTGAAACAGAAAAGGAGATGTGACAGGTCTCAAGGCTATGGAATATTCACAGTCTATTCTTGATAGTTATTAAACAAAAAAACTCAAAATGTTCCCAAATTAATTTGGATGAATGAAAAATTTAAATGTACAACATAGAATCGCAAGAAATAACTTCTTGTTGAATACAGAAATACATAATAGTATTTTCCTTTTTACAGCTTAAAGCACAGATACCGGTATTGAAGAAAGCATTTTTGGATGAGCAAACAGAGAATACAAATTTAAAGGTAGGCCTATTTAGGACAATATTGGTGTTAGCCATTATTAATGGGGTTAGATGGCCGAATGGTTTGCACGAGCACGTCGTATCATAAGTTCTGTCATCGAATCAACTGGCGTGGTTTCGATTCCCCGGTTGTACGTGACATAGAGTGGGGTCACTTGTTCAACCTCAATGGTTTTTTCCAGGTCCTCTGGTTTCCCCCCACTGCTCAAGACCCCAAAGAGCAAGCAAATTATTGAAATAAAATCGACCCATATATTATTCCTGAAATGACGAGCGATAATAGACACACAGTCGAATTTCATTTCACTGATAATTCCATTGAAGATGAAAAGTTGTTATATGAGACGGTCAGACGATATCTGACAATTAAAAAAAAAAACCTGTCAATAGATCAAAGAAAACAAACAAATTAGAAAAAGTCTGTGCATTACCATGTTTTTATTAAGTACAGAATGAATAAAAACAAGGGAATGCATGGGCCTTTTTTATTTTTTTTTTTTCATTTTCTCTACCTTACCAATGATCTCTGTGTTAAAATTATATTTGGAATGTGTTTAACCAGTTCTGTTAATGTGCATAAATGTGTTTGTTCTACAGAGGATTATTACTCTCATCAAGATAATAAATGTAGTTTTATATCATTTTAATGTTAAAGTAGCTAAGTCTCTAACTGAGTATCATCCAAAGTCTTTGACATTCAAAACACAAATTATTTGTTAATTTAAATCAACATTGATGTTGTAGTCTTACCGGGAAAAGGTGGATTTCTGATATCCAATGTTTAAGACAAAATAGAGATTTTACCATTGGTACACGAATCGTGTACCATAATGCGTTTCAGCGCCATTTGTAACAAGGGACTCAAAGAACGAGGCTAGACATATTCCACAAGTCATGTCAAATGGTGACATCATATTCTTATCTGGAGAGCATGTGCAATTAATACTATCGGTGTTGACTGGAATAACCAGACGCTAGAGATTGCCAATTGATCGAGACAGTTCTCATTTACAGTGACACGACCTTCAGAATCTTCAATTCCCTTTTTAGTCATCTCTTTTTCATACCAATGATTGAACTTCTATTTTATTCAGGATGTTTTAAAAGAGAAGGACACATGTGTACGCAAATATGAACAGGAAGCAGACAGTCTGTCTTTCAGAAATCAACAGTTGTCAAAAAGAGTTCTGCTTTTACAAGATGAACTTGAGCAGGCTGAGAGTATTATTGGTAAAAAGAAAAACAAGGTTTGATTGTGTTTAGCTGAATTAAATGGGGAATGAGATAGAATGCCTATGAAAAAGTTTATTATTTAAATTTAAGGCAAATAAGGACTAGAAAGAATATATCGTAATATTTTCCAACCATAAAAAAATCAGCATCCATGAAAGACACTACAAATAATCTAGTCTAATGTTATGGACTCTTTAGTGGCATAATGTCCAAGTTGGCAAGATTTTTATTCATTATAGAAAGATGAAGGGACATCTTAGGTATGAGTTGTCAATGGAAAGAACTTGAGCAGTTTTTAGAGCAAATCATAAAATATTTTGCAAAATTTTTTGCTGGGGGCCTTACAGAACTGGTTGTTTGGTTTTATCACTAAGATTTTGACCTACCACCTATTGGAATAGCACATCTACACTCTATTTGACCTAAATCAAATAGCTATATCACCTTTCAGTTTGCCATACAAACTGCTTTGAAATTTGTGTATATTGCGCTCTCTTCAAAGTCTAAATCCAGAACAGTAGGACGTTAAACCCCATTTCATTTCATTTCAAACTCTAAATCCATTTTTGAAATAAATTGGTTTGTTCTATTTTAAGCACAAGACAAATGATGCTTCAGCATCTGATCAATTAAAACTAGGGTCTAGTGGTGTGTTTAATGAAGAATTACAGAGTAAAATAGAAGAGAATGCCAGGTTACATAAACAGGTAAATTAATAAACTATAACAAATACTTATGGAAAAACTGCTACTAATTTATTTGGGCTACACCTCATAATTTTGTATTACTGTATTAAATTAGCTTGATAACATTGAGAGAATACTCTTCAAAACATCGCCCAAATAAATTAGTAACTGTTTTTCCTGTAAGTATGTATTATAGTTTATTGCTCTATCCAGTTACTAAATGCCTCTAAAAGATTAGGTAAATTAATGTTGTTGACTGCAAGGTATTTTTGTCTTTTCCTACAGATTAGCCTATACATAAGTTATTTATGTTGAATTTTGATGTTTGTCCTTGCAATAAGGTAAACTTTAAATGTGTAGATTATTTCAAATTTATACACATTGCATACACATTGACTACTGGTACTTAAAAGAATGCACTCCTGTTTAGGGGGAGAAAACTACACTTATATACCTTCCCAAAAATATTGTCAAGAATAGAAGGCACAGATGAAAACAAATTAATACTAAACCATATTTTGAATACAAATCTCAGTAAGACTAGACTGAATTCATGTCTTCCTAATTATTCACAGGTCAATGAGACATCAGAGATATTTGAGAAGAAAGTTCAAGAATTAGAAAACAGTTTAAGAACAGTTGAATTAGAACATAGTCAGTATAATGAAGTATTAAATGCCACCAAACAGCAGAGTAAAAGCCAAATAGAAAAATTACAAGAAGATAAAGCTATGTTAGAGGTACAGTGTTTCAAAAATTTTAAGATTAAACTGAAAACTCATTTATTTTGCACACTGAAGGAACCATAATATTCAACTGATGGCATACTTATTATTTTTTAACTTGCAACTGCATTCTATATTATTTTGTGTGTAATTATAGTGTTCTTCCTATATTCTACTTGTATAATGTATATGTTTTGTAGTTTGGGAGTGACTTCCCAAACTTCCCACTTTAAAATGCTATTGCATTTCAAATGATTTTAATATTTATCCTGATATTACATATATATATATGTCTTTGTAGCTTAGGAGGGACCTATAAAGTTTTTATTATTATTATTATTATTATCTTGAAAACTTTTCATACTTATTCCTTATACCCTCTATTATTTTTGATGCATGCCCAAACACCTGGGACAGAGCGGCACTCAATTTTAGTGTGTGTATGTGTTTTGCCTACAGACCGCAATTCTTAACAGATCCTTTTGAAACTTTATATACCCATTCCTTATACCCTAAGGATGATCCATGTTGTTTTTCGGTGAATGCCCGACCCCTACAGGCCACAATTCTTAATGGATCGTCTTGGAACTTGGCATATGCATTCCTTATAGCCTAAAGACAGCAAATATTGATTTTGGTGCATGTCCCGATCCCAACCCCCAGGGGCAGAGCAATGCCAATTTTTGTGTTTAGCTCCCAAAGGCCACTATTCTGAATGGATTATCTTGGAACTTGGTATACTTATTCTTTATACCCTAAGGATGGCAACTATTGATTTTAGTGCATGATCACCCCCCACCCTTTGGTGCATGCCCCGATCTCCAGGGATATGGTACCACTCAAACTTTTTTGTTAATTTTTTTATTTGTAATTTTGTTCAAATTCAGCATATCAATCATTTCAGTAACAGGGTGGTACCTATTTATATTGTTCCATATCCAGACCCACGCCCAATTTTGGTATTTATCTACAGGCTGCAGTTCTGAATGGATCATCTTGGAAATTTGCATATTTATTCCTTACTATTTATTTTGGTGCATGCCCCGACCCCCTGCGACAGTGTCACACCCACTTTTTTGTTAATATTTAGTCTGTAAATTTGACAAAACATTCCCAATGCCTAGTCTTCTTTGCCTCTTGTCATATTACAGCCATTGCAGCCATTTCATATTTCATTCTCTTCATTTTAAAAAGTACCATATCGATCAAAGCACAAATGTGGACGTATAATGCTGCGTTAACGATGCTCTTGTTTTGTTTTCATAGGTGAAACTTCATACTCACGATAGTGATATAAAGCAGTTTAAAATGAGAGCTGAAGTTGCGTAAGTTACATTTCCATTTCGTGGTGTGAAAATTTTAAAAGGATAAAATATGTATATCTCTTCTATATATCCAATATTTCGAATTATTAGAATAAATTAAGTGGGGTTAAGCAACTAGTCAGACTTGGGAAATAAATTTACTGAAACGCTAAATTTTCTATTTCCTTTCAGTTGATTTTATATTTGCTTCAATTTTACTGTCCATTTTTTGTTAATTTCAGCGAGATAAAGTTGAACACTGTAAAAACAGATTTAACCCAAAGAATACAAACTGCTGAAAATATAATATCTGATAAATTACCGTTTATTGATACAAGTGAGTTTTAACTTTCATTTTGTTTAGAAAAAAGAACCGAGCATTCTATACTCTTGAAAAAAAGTAGGGGATATTCAGAAACAATACAAAACTGCAGAAATACACTGCTGTTTTTATTAGAGGTAACCGGTGTATGTTAATAACAGGTCAATTGCCTACACATGAACATTAACAGTTCATGTAAGCGGCTTAACTGACGGCCCCATTTCACTCGCAAAGAGATACACTGTCAAAAGTGAAAATTGGCGTTTTTGATTTTTGTCTTAATAATGAGTAATTGCTCCACCAATCCTCAGACATTCAGCAATTCGTCGTGGCATGCTCTCTGAACCACTCCTCTTGCAGTGCTACAGCCAATTCTTGCGGTGTTGTCAGTTGACATTGACGTCGACGAACACATCTCCCGATCATGTTCCAGACATGCTCTATAGGGGAAAAGTCAGGACTCATGGCTGGCCAAGGCATATGGACCATATGGTGACGCTGGAGATAGTCATTCACGACACGAGCGCGGTGGCCACGGGCATTATCATCTTGAAAGATGAAATGTCAACCTGCACGTTGAGCAAAGGGCAGAACTATCAGTGTCAAGATGTGGTCACGGTAGTACACACCAGTGACCCTTCCTTGAACAATATGCAAGTCCGTTCTGCCATAGCAAATTAAACGTAACACACTAAAGCAAAAATATGCTAAACAGTAAATCTTATGCAAGAACCTATAGGAAAGCAAACATGGATAGGATAAACCAGCACGGGGCAGTTTTCATCAACCCTTCCTTGAAGTGTCAAATTTGACATTGAACCCCTCCCACGTGTATGGCGCTATTGCGTGTCGCACGTGTAGCTCTGTGGTTCTGTTGGGGCGATAAGTTCTTCATCTGTGAACATACTCTCAAAGCATGTCAAGTGTCCATGACTATTTATCATATCACAACCTGCATAGGTATTTGCATTTCAATATCCCCTACTTTTTTTTGAAGAGTATATATATTAAAGCAGAATTTTTTGTTGAAGTTGTATATGATGGAAATTTTGAAAATAAATATGCAGAATAAAGTTATGTTTATTGATAGTGGCCTACAAGTATTAGAATCTGTCAGACATAGTGGATTTCTAAAAAATACAGATCACTGAAGTCCATTGTTGTTAACCTTGTGTAAAATGGTAACAATCTAGTGCAATCTCAAAATTAGATAGTATTATAAAACATGCTAAGTATTATAAAACATGCTAATAAATAATAAAAGTACAAAGAATGATTATGAATGAATTAGTTAGTGGCTAAAAGAATCATATTTTTTTGTTTATGCAAGCATGTTTTAAGGCCTATGTACAAATTAATGTTATCTTAAAGCAACCAAACCTTTAACTCCATATTTTCCATAATATTCTAAATTATAAACATATTGGTCCATTTAATTCAATATTGATGTTTTTATCTTGCCATGAAAATATAGAATTCTAACATCCAATATTTAAGACACAATGAACAATTTAAAATCAGTACACCAGTTGTGTACTCGGTGAATTCGGGTGCAATTTGTAATTACCAAAGAAAAACATATCCTACAAGACAATGCGGATGTAATTAGTAATGGCTGATTTACAAATGACAAAATAATAATAATAAACGTGTAGGATGGACTTAGCAGGTGTAAACGACTGCTGTTCAATTTTGACTGTTCACGTATTTCACTGTACATAACTGATTAGAAATTATTATAAAAATATAGATCACTTCATATACTTTCATATTACATTAATATGTCTATTTTAAGGCTCCATATAAATGAGCCATACGATCTTTAATGGAAGAATTCAACTTTTTAATTTTTTATTTTATTTTAAAACTATTGAAGTACTTCTTTGAATTAAGAAAGTAACTAGTGTTGTTACTCTTGTGGTGACACAGGTTCTTAGTCTAAACACAACCATAACCTAAGTTTACTACTAGACTTGAATTAACCCATTGTCTTTTAAACAAAAATTTGTTTTATTGATAACAAATTGTCTTATTAGTAACAATAAACTGAAAAATCAATGTGCTAAATTTTATACTGTATTGATTGTAGAGATTGCCCAGTTAAATAGCCTTAACATACCCGTGTTTGATCGTAAACATCAGCTACGTGCTTGGGAATTAGTAAATCAAGCAGGAACAAATGTCGGAGAATTAGTACAGAGTCTGTCAAACTTCTATACATATAGTGAACAGAGATCTAAAATCTATCCTGCTGACAGTAGAACAGAACCTATAAGTGAAGTAAACACAAAAGTAAGTTAATGATATGGAGAGATAAACAAACAAAATTGAGTTTTGGTATAATGGTCACATGAAATGTTAAGGATCCTATATGAATATTCTAATAGTAAGTACAGGGGGACTGCACCATACACAATTACACAAAAAAATCTACTTATGGAAAAGACACAATGTGCAATATTCAGTGTTTGGATTGCTTTGGGTTCATTTTCACATTCCTAGAAATTAAAAATAATTCAAAGCAATATATTTGTCATTGTTTGTTTATTTATTTTAAAAAATCTGTTTATTTCATTGATTGTCTATAAATATCAGGTCAAATTCCATTAGTTTTAATTAACATTGAACTAACGAAATATCAGTTCAATAGCCTTTATGTGTTTATTGATATATAAGCTATTTTTGCTGTTTTATAGTATGATGTAGGTCCATAAGCTAAAGGAAATATGATTTTAATTATCTTTCATATTCCATATAATTTAAAATAATTGCAGTGCATATACAATAAAATTTTTAAATGATTTCTATATTTTAGTACTGCAGACTTTTACATGAAAATCTGGTATACTGTAGGCCCATTGAACAGTCATTGAAAAAATTTGGTGAAATATTAAAAGATGACTCTCTTTCTACAATTCTAGTAAGTTAATATTACATCTATACATAAATTTCTCTTTCTACAATTCTATTAAGTTTATATTTTATGTATACACACAAGTTATTTTTTCTCATCCAACCCGATTCTAACTTGAATTTCTTGAAGAAATTTTCATAATTAAATGAAATAAAGTTAAATTTTTGACAACTGAATATTTTTGCAAATATTTGTTTTAAACGATTACAGATGAAGTGTTACTGTTTTTGGAATACTGTTTATTTTTAAGACATTTTAGTTATTGCCATTTTGTCTGATTCAGGATACAACAACAGATTTAAAACCTTTCTGCGACAGTTTTCACAATTTTGTAGACTACAATAATAGATTACTACCCTTACAACTTTCCAGGTACTTTTATAATATAATAAAAATATTAACTTTGATTCATTTGAAATTTTAATATTTAATGAACTAAGAGTAATAAAAATTAAAAAAAAAAATGAAAGAGACATGTTATTGGCATACATTTTCTAACAACTTCCATCTGAATAGAATAACTGTTTACATATGGGTATCTAATATTTGAATTATATTAAATTTTTACATATCTAATTTTTAAATATATTAACTTTTTACATATCTAAATTTTGACCATATTATTAGCTTTTTTACACATCTATTTTTTTTTAATTTGTTTTCAGTATTGAGGAAGAATGTGCTCTGTCTTCCTGCCCATCAACGCTTTCAGCTAAAAATATGGAATTGCACAACTCTTATAAGAAACTAAATGATGTTTATAATAAACTAGATGGTCATATTTCACAGTTAGGTAATATAACCGTTCTTACCGAAAACAGAAATTGTGGGGTTCTCAATTGAATCTCTTGAATTCAAATCCATTTATCTCATACACAGTGACAATCGAGAAATGGGAGAATTTTGAGTGACCGTTTTTTATTATGGACTGATTGTAACACCACACTGAATTCAGTGTAACCCTTATGGCAAATTTCTGCCTATTTGGAACTTTCCAGGCTCACATTGTTTTGGCTTCTTATTAATGTAGTAGATGTTTTTGGATACATTTTCTTCTAAATCATTCAGATTTCTATAGTCTTGAAAATCATTATGAAGTTTCACATATATTTCAGGCAAAAAAACATCTTCTGATTCTTCCAGTGATAATGTACAGATATTTCAAGATTTATCTCAATCTTTAACAGACTTCCATATTACTGTCAAAGGTAAAGTTCAATACAAAGCTAAACTAATTATGTTAGTTTCATATATTTTAACATTTTTAAGTTAAAATGATCTCAGTCCCAGGATAGTGAATAAATTTTCAGATTTGCAAATGGCAAATAAATTTTATTTTAACATTGTCTGACGAAGAATTTTAGAATAGATAAAAATGAAGCACTGACAATTTGTATGTTATAATTTAGAGGTATCCAAGCATTACAATGCCAAAGTTTCACTTGAACATCAGTTACCTACAGCAACACAGAAACTGAAAACAACAGATGAATGTATTGTGTCTTCCCTTGTATCTTTAGTTACTAGTGCTAGTAAGGTATGTATAAAATAATTCTAGTCATCATTCTAATCGCTAATCTTATAGACAAACTCCTTTAATTTCTTAGGAGCCACGGTGGCAACGTGGGTGGGACGCTGGCTCACTAGTCTGGAGGTCGCGGGTTCGCTCCCGGCATTGGCCGAGAAAGTTCATCAGGATTTTCCAGTCTGGTTTCCCAGTGGTGCAGGACGGATGGCCTGACAAGGACAGCTGTTAGTTGTTTGGATGGGATGAAAAACTGAGGTCCTGTATACACATTGGTGTGCATGTTAAAGATCCCTTGGCATTTCGAATTTGACATTAAATCCCATTTCATTTCATTTTTATACGCCCACATTGAAATGTGGATGTATATTGCCATCCGCCGTCCGTCCGTTATCATCCATTTGTTTTAAAATTGATATATGTTGTTTACATTAGTGGGATGAAGAAGCCTATTTAATTATAATAATTTCCATTTATTACGTCTAGAGTTATGGCCCTTGTTTCACTTTGTTGAACCTTTTGAACACTCTAGTGCCAAAAGTTAACATCCGACCTTTGTGAAATTTATATTCAATATTTATTTAAGTGAAACGAAGAAGCCTATTGAATTTCAGCAATTTCCGTTTATTATATCTAGAGTTATGGCCCTTGTTTCACTTTATTGAACCTTGTGAACGCTCTAACGCCAAAAAATAACATCCGACCTTTCTGAAATTTATATGCATGATTTAAATTAGTGAAACGAAGAATCCTATTGAATTTCAGCAATTTCCATTTATTACGTCTAGAGTTATGGTCCTTGTTTCACTTTATTGAACCTTGTGAACGCTCTAACTCCAAAAGTTATCAACCAAACTTTCTGAAATTTATATGCATTATTTATATTAGTGAAACAAAGAAGCCTATTGAATTTCAGCAATTTACAATAATTACTTCTAGAGTTATGGCCCTTGTTTCACTTTGTTAAACCTTGTTAATGCTTGATAACTGAAAGTTATCATTCGACATGTATGAAATTTATATGCATCATTTAAATTTGTGAAACAGTGGTCTATTGAATTTCAACAATTTCCGTCAATAATTTCTAGAGTTATGGCGATTGTGAACCTTGTGAACGTTTGAATGAAAAAAGTGATCATGTGATCTGTATGAAATTTATGTGCATTATTTAAATTAGTAAAATGAAAAAGCCTGTCAAATTTCAACAATTTCTGTAGATTACTTCCAGAGTTCAGACCCTTGTTTCAGTTTGTAGAACCTTGTAAACCCTCAAACGACAAAATTTATAATCTGATCTGTATGGAACTGTCTTGTAAAGGCCCCCAATTACCTACAAAGGAATAAATATGCAACAACCCTTGTCGACCGCTTGGACGATTTAGAAGCTGTGGGCGTATGTTTCGTTGCCTGGCAAACCTATCTTAATTTCTTACTGGATGTTAGTTTAATTGGTGGATCTGTATCATGAAAAGTATGTCCATAGTCGATGAAATACTGATCGCTCAGCTGTGGTAGTCCAGTCATCTGCAAGTTGTCCGCAAATCAAAATTTCAATGTTTTTAGGCAAAAAATAAAATAATTATATAGAGGATATTTGTCGTTTTAGAGTGAATAACATATTTTATTTCATCGAGAAGCAAGAAAACTTATATTTTCACGAATGCGTAGCATGAGCGAAAATATAAACGTTTTCTTGCTTAGAGATGAAATAAAATATGTTATTCACGACAAAACGACAAATGTTCTATTTATTTTATGATTTTACATTTTAGGAAAAAACAACTAGCCAGTGGAATAACACTTTTATTTCACTGATAAAATGCGGTATTCCACTACTGATCATAAAATAAATGTTTTTATTTAATATTTGAAATAGGTATATAGCAGTTTGGAAAAGAGCTATGAATATATCTTTCAAAGGGTTTGTTGGAAAGATGTAAAGTATCTCATATTATGTTGTTATATTTCAGATAGCGACTTTTATTGGTAATAATATAGAGTTTTGTAGTGAGAAATCAGGGTATGTTAGCAGAGGTACTAAAAATAATTCTGATAATACCGGTGTAAATCCTGTAGTAGCTACATTTAAAAATAGAACTACAGAATATATCTCATCATTAGCCAGGGTAATTATTACATATTTCTTTAACAGTGTAAGATAAAGTTTGGGCACATGTCCGAAGTGCTACTGATATGATTGTGACCATCCCACTTCATTGTAGGGCAGTCGAAGGAGACTTACCTTTTCATTATGTAAATGTGATCCTCTCGATGGCTAAATGACAAATTTGCTTTACTATGAATTACATGTGCACTGCGAACAAATTTCAAACCGCAAACTGCACCAAACAGGTGTCAACTGATCTGACGTGAGTAATGAAATATGACCAAATATTTTCTTTTAAAATGTCTTACCCTTTCTAAAGACCAGATTTTCATTCTCAAAAATGTATTTGGAACTGACCTATAATTTGACTCTGTTGAAGAGGACTACGTTTGAAGATTGTGAATAAATTTTATTTTTTTAACCTGTGTGTCAGACAGTATAATGACTGCTTCAATGGTTTTCTATGGATTTTAGTACATGTATACAAGATATTCATTTGTTTGCTAAAATGACTGTTTGCAAAATCAATATGCTACAAGTACTTTATATTTTAAGCTTTTTTGAGCGAGATTCGATAATTAGTTGTGGATCACCCTTGACATACATCAGAACTTGCTTGTAAACACATTGGAGTCAACATTTTTAATGGATGAGCTCTAATTTAACGAGATTCATCCGTACTTTATGAAGTTGTCACACTTCACTTAGTCTCAAAAATATGTCTAAATTAACGTTTCTGAAACCTTCATGTGAGCATATCTGCTGTTGTGGTTGCTCATTGGTATTTTATGACTGTATTACATGATAATTTAAAATAAGTTGTAGGTTTTATTTTTTTTTATTATTTAGCCATGTCCAGAATCTGTACCTCATAAAGTAGCTGTACAGAATAGAAAAGTTTTATTGAGTTCAGCTGAAAGTAAAGAAGGTTTATCTAAACAAATAGAAAGATTTCAACAACGTGTAGGATCATTAGAACAAGAAAAAGAACATTATATGTTAGAATTACAGTTATTAAAGATAAAATATGAAAATGAAATCCATGTAAGTACCGTATAATTATCTGTTTTAACTCACATGTGTTGTTGATACATTAAATATAGAACATTTTGAATCTCATGCCAAACCAAGGATCTGAATTGGAAGATTATAGTCGGATACAGCCCTTTAATGTTTGTAAAAGCTGATTGATAAAACAATGGTCTCTATGGTATCAAAAATCATTTTATACTTGGCCCAATTAGAAAGAATTAATTATTATTTGTTATAAGCAAGTGAACAGTCATAGTCATATCATAATGAGAATCTGCCATGTGGTGAATGCAGCCTCATTTTATTCATGATCCAAGTAATTAGCAGATTTAATGCCTAACTGTAATTTTGATAATATCGTAAATAAACATAATTCATAACACGTTCAGTGTTCACGCTCCACGTAACCAGCACAGTTAGATAAAGAACATACCCGATGTATAGACATCATGTTTATTGTTGTCATGGATGTTTCGCTTTCAGTATCTATCCAGTAAGCGAAGACAGTAATTTATTCAGGAATATCATTGACATGAACTTGGAGTCAGTACGTTAATTATAAATGTGTGTACCTATTTTTGTGTGGATAATCATAAATATCAACTTATTGACCCTATTTCTTGAGGTTGACAATGATCCATTCTCCAAATTCTGGCCTTTTGGTTTGTTCGCTCAAAATGAATTCAAACCTCTACCATATGTTTCACAATATCTATATGAGATCACAGGCGACTGTAACATGGAAAATCTCTTTCAGAAATAACATAAAGCTGAGGCTAAGCGTTATATCTAAAGTCTATTGATATAAGCAAGATTATTGATTTCAGGAGCAAATAATTTGTATGGATTCGATTCTCACTAGTACTAAGACAATCGAGCCTACAAGATGTATTACAAAATGGTAAACTATGTATTATTGTCTAACTGGTGAGAATTAGTTATGTGTATTGACTGAATGTAGGGTCAGTGTCCTTCACATTTGATCCATGCTGTCATTCTTGCCCTCCATTGATCACCTAAATCCCAATCTAGGTGTGTTTAATAGACATTTTACTGTTTGATACCTTATACAAACCGCCATTAAGTCCAATCAATCCTAAATTTCCAGTATTACCGGAAGTAACCCGATTTTGAAAACAGAAACTATATTTTCATCCTTTAAAACAAATATTTGTTCTAAAGATTGTCATTCGCTACTCTTTACTAATACTATTTACTAACTTCCTTTAACTAATAGTATGCAGATATACGTCCATGTTGATATAAAATAATTTTTAACTTTGTTCTTTGCCGAGAAGTGGGGTGGTGGATGGGGGAATGGTTAGCAGTTGTGCTTTGTATCATAAGGTCTGTCATTGAGTCAACTGGCGTGGTTTCAATTCCCCGGGTCGCCTGTCAGACCTTGTGGGTTTCCACCCACTGCTAAAGATCCCTACATGCAAGTGAATTATTGAAATAAAATTTGACCATATATTAGTCACGAAATGACCGAGTTTGTTTCGAGTGGTTAACTCTCTCTCTGGATTTACAATAGTTTGGCATACCGGTATTTCTTTTAAAATAGATCCTTAGATTTAAGCACAAAAGATTTGTTTCTGATGTTGTAGTAGAAAATAAAAAAAATAAATGAATCTTAGGAAAATATAGTCCCTTGAATAATGAAATATTGTTATCTACATTTTCAAGATAAAAAATATGTGATATGTCAAGGAATGGAATGTATCAAGCAATTATATAGTTATTTGAGAAACACAATCGGTGAATTATAAACGAAATAAAAAGTTTTAAAAAAAGATTGTCTACGTTCTAAATATACACATAAATTCTGTCTATGGGGTTCTACAAAAGCCAAATTAAGGACGGTTAAAAACTGTTTACCAAAATTAGGTAAATTTAACCTGACTAGAGGCTATCCACAATCTACACGGTAATGGCTAGTATGTAAGTGAATTTCTTTTAAAGATGCATTATGTAAGAGCTACATTTGCCTATTGCACATTTTTCTTTAGTCTCCAAATGTTATTTAAATTATTAATCAGACATTTTTTCACATGACCAGTACATAACTATCTAGACCATTGGATGGTCGTGATTTTTAATGGAGTGAAACACGAGCACCGTTTAATAATTAAATTTAAAAATGGATAATCGAGACTTTATTATCATAAAAATGGTAGCAATGGAAATCGAGACAGCGCTTTTCTTACCATAACTTCCAACATTTATAACTTTGCTCAGAATTATGTAATTTGACTCAAGTGTCAATATATTCCTTTTTATACGCCCACATTTTCATGTGTATGTATATTGTCGTCACTCCTGTCCGTCCACAGTTTGTTTGTGGACACTCTACTGGTCACAATTCTTATCCGATTTTGATGAAACTTGAAATATAGGTTTATCTCCAAAAGATCTCAGTTTCTGTCGATACTGGCATGTATTTGATCGAAACTTCATGGATTATGGCCCCTGATTGTACGAAAACTCATGTTTTTAGCTTGTGGACACTCTAGAGATCACAATTTTCATCAGATTTTGATGAAACTCGAAATGCTTGTTTATAACCCAAAGATCTTGGTTCCTTTTCGATATTTCCACATATCGGATCATAACTTCCTGAAATATGGCCCCTGATTTTACGAAAAGTCATGTTTTTAGCTTGTGGTCCCTCTAGAGGTCACATTTATTATCTGATTTAAAAACCTTTCGAATATATCACTGTTACACCGTAATGATGGTTGAGTTTGAATTTCATGAAAATCGGACCAAAACTGTCGCACAAAATGGCCGCCCCTCGTACCCCTGATTGTTCGAAAAAATCGCATTTTTAGCTCGTCGACCCGCTAGAAGTCACAATTTGTATTCAATTTATAAAAACGTTTAAATATATCACTGTTTCACAGTTCAAATTATGTAAAATTCTGACGCAAACTGCCAGACGAAATGGCCGCCCCTTGTACGCAAATAGTGTAAATATATGGTATATCATTATCAAGGTTGCAGACCCACTTGAAATGTTTATAACCCAAAGATCTTGGTTCCTTTCGATAATCGTGCATATCCGAACAGAACTTCCTGGATTATGGCCCCTGATTGTTTGAAAAATAAAATTTTTAGCTCGTGGACCCGCTAGAGGTCACAATTTTTATCCGATTTTAAAAAAATATGTTCAAATGTATCATCATTACACCCTAATGACAGTTGAATTTCCTGACCAAAACTGCCTGACAAAATGACCACTCCTTGTACGCAAATAGTGTAAAGTATGTAATACCAAGGTTGTGGACCCTCTAGAAGTCACAATTTGTATCCGATTTTGATGTAACTTAAAATGTATCTTTATATCTCAAATATCTCAGTCCTTTTTAATATTCACACATTTCAGACCATAACTTCCTGGATTATGGCCCCTGATTGTACGAAAAATCCCCTTTTTTTTTAGCTTGTTCTCTATCCATCTCTTGCAAAATGTGGGCGTATCTTGCCTGGCAACCTCTGGTTCATTATCTATTTTTAAACTATTATGTTTAAACTGTCAGGGGGGGTGGATGGCCGAATGGTTAGCACGTGCGCGCTGTATCAAAACATATTTTTTATAACCAATCGACTCATCTGTTTGTCAGTTTGTTAAGATTTTACATATTGAATTTTTCTTCTGAACCACTTGATAGATTATATTTACAACCAAATTTGTTGTTACATATGTTGCCTGTGTATTTCTTATTCAGATTTGTGCAAACGAAATTGATTTGTCACATTTAAGGGGAAAATTTTGACATTTTCTGTCATATAAAATTTCTTCTCCTAAATTACATTGTGTTTATTGTTCAGTCCTGTGAAATGAGATTTTTCTGCCTATTAGAGGCTGGACAGGAGTATCTTAAGGGGGCAAATTTATACTTTTTCACACATTTTCGACTTCTCATGCCGTATATGAAGCCACAGTAAACGGAATTCAACTATCAAAATATTTAATTCTCTTCGAAAGGAACTGTCGGCCATTTTGACTTGAGATAGGCTTTATATACATCATTGGCAATTATCAATCAACTAATCATTAATCCAAGACAACTGATTAGTATTACTCATTGACGCAATCCGGATTATCAGCGCGTTGATTAACTTGGTGCAATAGGGGTTGTTTCGGGACATTTTTTTAATGCAGAATTTAGACATTTGGACAACATTTTGTATGGATGTTTGTTTTTAGGTAGTGTATAAAATTAATTTGCTGCTTGCTAAAACCCTACGACAAGCAAATGTGGATATTTCCTCACAAGTAGACAAATTATTGATAGCCTAATCCAACTCCTTATTTGAAAGTGAATAATTAATTGGGCAATTATCTTTATAGATTGATTAATGTGATATTTGTAGCTAATTTCCTGTCACATAGTGAACTACATGTAACATGCCTATTACTTTGACATTTAACTTATAGACAAAACAACAAAAGCCCAATAAAACATTTCATTATTTTAACTGCCATTTAGATGATTAAAACAAAAAATATAGGTTAAATCATCTCTGGATGTATGCAATTGCATAATGGTGGATATTTGAAATCATGTAAACTTCAAAAGGTCATAACTTACTATAGGATTGATTAATGGAAATAATGTTTGAAACCACGTCTTTCACTAAGAGGTACTTTTGAGTGTGTATTATCCTAAAAACTATATTTAAATTCTATTCTGGCTTGTCCCTTTTAAATAAATGTACACATAGTCATAATATGCATTAGGTAGCTTATACTATAGATTGGGAATGTACATGTTATGATGAGTCATCGAGTGGGATTCAATGGAGAGATACAGAGAGAGAGTTGATATTGATTTTCTCATACCAGTGACAGGATGGCTAGAATATTGCACAGAATATACTGAACAGTCTGCCATGTTTATAGGATATATTGATGAATCTCACTAACATGTAGCTGCATGTATTGGGTTGTGTTAAAATCCTCCTGGGCATATATAAACTCTATTTATAGTCCTGTTTCTTACTCATGTTGTTTATGCACATATATATAATAGATTGATCTTTGTACATACAGTTATTTGAAAGGTATAAAATATATCTTATAATATGTGGCTTTCTATTTCTTCAAGTAATTGTTTTTAATAACATACTATTTATATAGAATTTTTATGATAATGTATCTTAATGAAAATGCCCAAGAACAAGGTGTTGTGTATTCTCTTTTGGTTGATTATCTGTGATTACATCTAGTATTTATGGAATGAAATGCACAATGTAATTCTAACTTATAAAATAATAACACCCATGCTAATATTTCAATGCATGTAACTTCTTACTTACATACAGTAAATTGGCAATTTACACTTTTAAAAATGTTAATTTTTAGGACAGTTGTGCAGTTTGAATTTGAATCTTTTGATTTCGCACCTGATTTCAGTTCTGTGGAAAATATAAAAATATAAACTTACATTAACTAATGAGTTTTACTTTTGCTTTTATAGAAATATAAACAGTTGGAGAAAGAAATTAGTTTGTTAAAGAGGAAAGGTATAACTGATACTCCAAATGATATTGAATCCAACATGGAGAAAATGCCATCATTAGAACCAACAAATACCAATATAAATAAAACTCAAATCCCTTCAGATAATTTACTGGTAAGAATAGTATACAAATATCTTTGAATTTTAAGTTATTATTTGTTGTCATTTTGACTGCAACTTTATTATGTTTTGTTAGTAAGGCAGAATCACCTTTTTTTATTGTGAAAAACATCACTCTGCTGTAGAAACAAACAGTAAAACCTTTTATTTCAGACATCTTAGTTCAAACTACATGTATTTTAATTTCAATCCATTCTTTGTATTGCCATTTTATAAGTAAAGCAAAGCATAGAATTTTGCAAGTGACCATCCTGAATAATACTTTTATGCATATTCCTGAAGCAATGGTATCAAGTATTATCATTTCATTATCCATTGATTGTTTGCAATTATGGGTGATAGTTTTTATTGGTTTGCTAGGTTCATTTAGTTCACTGTTTTCTTTGAAATCATTGGTACATGTATTATGCATGGTTTAATGGTCGTGGGTGAGACATTAAGTAATATATTGATACAGTTGCACTTATGATAATAATAATAATTAATTTTTATAGTGCCGACAATTCAACTCAGCGAGCTGCTCTCAGGCACTTTACATAAGTACAAATAATATGAAATTACAACAATCACAACATATTAATCCATGAAAAAGACATAAACAAAAAACAGAGAACATTATTTAGTACACATGGTAAAAGTCTGACACAAACACAGCTAGAATCGTATTCAATCAGTTGTATATTTGATTAAAAAGTTCGGTTTTGAGATACTTTATAAAACCTTTAATAGAATTTGCACTTTTGGTTTAGTTTGATATTGAATTGCACAACTTTGGAGCACCACCAGTGAAAGATCTATCACTAGAATTGGTTTATAAAAAAAGCTTAATAAATAGGTCTGATTGTGATCGAATTGTTCTGCAAGGTTTATTGGTGTTCAGAAGGTTTTCAGGTGAAAAATCGACATTTAGAGCAGAATACGTAATAGACAGTATTTTAAAATTGATATATTGACGGACTGGAAGCCAATGTAGATCTTTCAGAATCATATGTTCATTTGGTTCAGTCTTGGTTATGATCCAGGCTGTTTTATTTTGAAGTTTCTGAAGGCATTTAATTTTATTTTCAGGTAGATTGTACAAAAGTGAATCACATTAGTCAAGTCTTGATGTAACCATAATGTTTACCAGCATTTTAGTTGTGTCACTATCAATGAAAGATCTAATTTTTCCAATATTATAAATCTGAAAATTAATACTTTTACACATGGCCGAAATTTGTTTATTCATGTCCAGATTAGAGTAAAAATAAACACCAAGATTTTTTACATAATCTGTTGGTGTAATAGAGATATTGCCAATTTGATAGTTTTCTGTTGTACATATTGTTTTGTCATTGTTAAGTTTTAAGAAATTTGAGTACATCCATTTAGGAATGAGTACAATTGATAAGTTGAGGTGATCATTTGTCCCTTTTGTATACAATCCAATAATATAAAACACAGTTTTACAAATATCTTATAAAATATATCCCAGAAGAGTAAAAATTGGGCAGTAACGTGGTCCTAATGATTTAAAAATTTCTATGCTAAAAATCACAATGACTCAACACAAGTAACACAGTAAAAAAGACACAAATACACAAAACACATAAAACACAGCTGCCTCTAAGGCGCTTACAAACCTATCTCACACATGCATTTGAATATAATCATCAATCAATTCCAGTATTTCATCTAAATGATGTAAGAATGGCATGTTGCTAGTACATTACTGTATTTAAGTCAGATGATTAGTGGATATTGTCAGTTTGGATATGGACACTTCTTCATTCAATATTTAAAAACTACAGGTACAATCTGTGATTTAAGATCTTTTTTTTATTTTTCAGATAGGTAAATTAGAATCAGTAAGTGGTAGTAATTTTGATGGTGAAACTAGAGAACAGTTGATTAAAAATCATTTTACACTTCGACAGAATCAATTAACATTACAACTACAACATGCTGATAGTAAATGTGTTAATTTTCATGCTGAGGTGCGCTTATTTCTATTTTATTGTAAAACACTAACTCCATATCATCGATTTTAAATTTTCCTGTGAAATGATTATAGCTTTCTAATTGTTGGAAATCACAGGCCAGCCTTCCATAGAGTCAAGAATTGAATGTTGACAATCCAACAAATGTGAGATATCAGACAATAAAGCAGCCGATGAAGAAAATATCTCCACATTACATAAGTTATCTGGATTGACAGATCTTCTCTCTGTTCATTTACTATGTTATTTTCCACTAGCTGTCAACATGAAAAGACTGTGAAAAAAAGGTTGCCACAAACATTTGAAATATGATTTATCATTGATTAAATTATGGAATGTATTTTGTAGGTGCGGGCACTACACAAACAACTACAATTAGCAGAAAAACAGAAAAGTAAAGCGGAAGAAGAATTAAACATAGCTAATCAAGCTTTAGCTCAATTAAAGGTAGATAACTCTTCACATGCAAACTTTACTACAGACTGACAGCACTATGTAAAATCCCAGTTTTATGGACACAGCTAAAACGTTTTACCTATAAATTAGTCTTGTGTGTCATTTGTATGTGTAATTCCTCCATAAATATGCAATTATTGAAAAAGAAAAAAATATTGGGACTCCATCTTAACGGTTATTGGCCCATTATACTGTTGCTACAATTGTTATATATGGTTATTTTTTTTTAACTTTATACAAAATTTATTATAGGATGAACATCAAACAACAACTAAAAGTTATGAAAATCAGTTGAGTATGATGAGTGAACATTTAGCAGGAATGAATGAAAGATTAGCCAAACAGAAAGATGAAATAGATGAACAGAAAATTCTCTTACAAGGCAAATCTAAGGTAAATTAGGATCTCATCTTTTGGAAAAAAAAAATCATATGAGAATGCTTTCATCAATATATTTGAGACAAACGCTCGGAAATGAGAATTTAAATGTTGGTCTATATACCACAAAGATAATGTTTGAGGCTTGGGTTTGTGATTGTTCTAAATCCAGCTTTTTCAATAGTCATGTCTCTTTTTCATAATTTTGTCTTTGTATCTTTTCCTTATACTTAAAAAAAATTTGAATTGCAGAGTTTAAAGAAGAAGAAATGATGCATTTTAAATGGTGAAACAAAATGGCACATTGTGATATTTATAAATACTAACTACACAATTTATAATAAATTATTATAACAGAGTTGTTGAATTTAATAAATGTATATATTAGTAGGTTGTTTACCAGCGAGTAAAAATCAAAACATTTCTCTCTGATTAATACTCCAGAGAGAGGGGTTTTATATAGGCTACACCTAATTTCTTGTTCACAACCATTGTTACTTAATAAAAATATTGCTAATGTAAAAAAATGGCCCGAAATGTCTTTTTAAAATAGCTTGTTACTGTATTAGGTATGTTGTGAATAAAGGACTTCCAGGAGTATGGTACATAAGAGTTATCTACCATTGATAAGCTAGTATATATGTATTATAATAATATCATTTATTAGAAGGATAAATAATTACTAGTATCATTCTAATTATATTTTTTTTTTTTATAATTGTGGAGAAACTAAATCAACTGCGTGTGCAGTATTGGTTATGTGACTTGTGAACAGAATCTTATCAAGCCAAAATTGATATACATGTATTGTGCAGACAAAATTGTTATGTGATATTTTTTTTTAAAGATAAACAATCTGATTACTGTATATAGACTGTATAATATAGTTATGTATAGTGCAAATAATTGTAATTAAAAATCGATGTGACATGGTACTATCAGTGGCGGATCCAGGTGGGGGACCCAAAATCTTCCCCCCCCCAATTTTGAATGACTATGATTAACTTATTATGAATATTTTGTTTCTATGAGAGTGTAAATTAGGGCTCTTTGTTGGTTAGGGGTCCAGATATGCGCCACAAATCACCACTACACCCCAATATTTCAAAATGTTCTCCAATGAAAGAACCCCCCCCCCCCAATAACCGAATATACTGCATCCTCCAGGGGAACTAGTTTACAAAAATAAGCTACAAAATGTTACAATAGATCAGGGGCCTGTTTCTCGAAATCTTAACTAAAGATAAAATCCAAATTTTAGTAGATATTTCAATTTTGATTGGCTAAGTGGCTAAGCACTAAAATCAATCTAATATTATCCAATCAAATTACTAAAATTTGGATTTTATGTTAGTTAAAATTTCGTGAAACAGGCCCCTTTTATAAACAGACTTTAAACTGGTAGATATTGTAAAGTTTGTCTCTATTTTATAGATGCCAACATTATATTCATTATGTGATGGAATTGCCTTAAAAAAATCAAACTGTTTGGTTGTTTATTTTTATATGCCAACATTAAATGTGTATGTATATTGCCTGTCAGTGCAACCTACTTAGGAATACAATGTGCCGTTTATACCAAGCTACATATAGTAGCTCCCATGCACAGGTTACATTAACAGTCTCTATTATATATGTGTGCATTTGGAAATAGATGTAGTGTGTCTGCCATAGGAAGCCTTTTGGATTAATAAGTTTCTCTCAATCTTGGCCTTTGCTCAAGTCACATGGTACCCATGTCCCTCGGTCTCGGTACTAAACTGTGGGGTGGGGGACTGGGGTGTCCAGGCCTTGGGGGACCCCCATTTGTTGAGATACCAGATAGCCTACTATCCAATAAAACCGGAAGAACAAAACCGACTTACATGTACACGGACTCAAAATTTTGATACGCCATACTATAGTGGTGGTGGAGTGTATATCAGACAATCCCAGTCATCTTTTATGTGTAATTTTTATACGCCCACATAGAAATGTGGACGTATATTGCCGCCCGTCCGTCCATCCATCCATCGTCCACAATTTCTTGTGAACGCTCTAACGCCAAAAGTTATCATCCAATTGTTTGAAAATTTATATATGTTGTTTAAATTAGTGAGATGAAGAAGCCTATTTAATTTCAATAATTTTCGTTTATAACTTCTAGAGTTATGGCCCCTGTTTCACTTTGTTGAATCTTGTGAACGCTCTAATGCCAAAAGTTAACATCCGATCTTTGTGAAATTTATATGCAATATTTAAATTAGGGAAACAAAGAATCCTATTGAATTTCAGCAATTTCCGTTTATTACTTCTAGAGTTATGGCCCTTGTTTCACTTTGTTTAACCTTGTGAACGCTCTAACCCCAAAAGTTATCATCCTATCTTTCTGAAATTTATATGCCTATTTAATTTCAATAATTTCCGTTTATAACGTCTAGAGTTAAGTTATGGCCCTTGTTTCACTTTGTTGAACCTTGTGAATGCTCTAATGCCAAAAGTTAACATCCGATCTTTGTCAAATTTATAGGCAATATTTAAATTAGGGAAACAAAGTAGCCTATTGAATTTCAGCAATTCCCGTTTATTACTTCTTGTGTTATGGCCCTTGTTTCACCTTGTGAACGCTCTAACCCCAAAAGTTATCATATTATCTTTCTGAAATTTATATGCATTATTTAAATTAGTGAAACGAAGAAGCCTATTGAATTTCAGCAATTTCTGTGTATTACGTCTAGAGTTATGGCCCTTACTTCACTTTATTCAACCTTGTGAACGCTCGAACGCCAAAAGTTATATTCCGATCTTTCTGAAATTTATATGCAGTATTTAAATAAGTGAAACAAAGAAGCTTATTGAATTTCAGCAATTTCTGTTCATTACGTCTAGAGTTATGCCGATCTGTATGAAATTTACATGCGTCATTTAAATTAGTAAACAGAAGAATCCTATTGAATTTCAGCAATTTCCGTTTATTACTTCTAGAGTTATGGCCCTTGTTTCACTTTGTTCAACCTTGTTAATGCTCGATTGATGAAAGTTATCATCCGATATGTATGAAATTTATATGCATCATTTAAATTTGTGAAACGAAAAAGCCTGTCAAATTTCAACAATTTCTGTAGATTACTTCCAGAGTTGAGACCCTTGTTTCAGTTTGTAGAACCGTGTGAACTCTCAAACGGCAAAAATTATAATCTGATCTGTATGGAACTGTCTTGTAAAGGCCCCCAATTACCTACAAAGGCATAAATATGCGACAAGAGTCGTTCGAACGATTTAGCTGCTGTGGGCGTATGTTTCGTTGCCTGGCAACCTATCTTTTGTTACGGAAAACCTGGATTAAGATTAACAAAATAAAATCAACAAAAAACTTTTATTTTACAAAATTTGATCCCAAACACAAAGTAAATGTTACACATGAAAGCCCATTGATTTACACCGTGTCTATTGATATTTCAATATTTAAATAATTATAAAAACTCTCTCTATAGTGCTTGTTTTAACAGCATATAAAAATATATGATAACACGCATTGAAAATAGTAGAACTTTATACTTTTGAAAAATAAGTTCTTGATACCAACAAACACAAGAACAAAATAAAAACAAAATCACTTTGCCGAAAGAAGTTCTTGATACCAACAAACACAAGAACAAAATAAAAACAAAATCACTTTGCCGTCTGTTAACTATCAGAATGGGTACGCCTCTTCAGAATGACGCTCCCATGACCGGCTCGCATCTCTAGATTAGGTTGTTTTACATACTTGAAGACTGTAGAACATAACATACTAATTATGCCAAAACTTTAAGATGCATTATTATCGTCCATTTGGAAAAAGCCAACTAAATTTGTTCCAAAATTCTGAATTAAAATAAATTGTTATATAAAATAATTCAAAACTGTGATGCACAATTACATGCACGCTTCACTTTAATTCATACAATTCGTTCAGAAGGTTAAGATTGAGCCATTTGAATGTCTTGTTTTCACTAAATAATATGTGCGCAATTATTTATACGGCCACGTCTCTTAACACTCGCCGTAATATTTTACCACTAGGAGATTTGGGAATAGCTTCAACAAACTGCACACCACCTCGTAGTCTCTTGTAGTGAGATACACGTTCTGAAAAAGAAGGAAATGTTTAAGAGACAAGGTATTACTTCTTAAAAGACTACACTCGGTTTTTTCGGAAGATTTGATTCTCAAATAAATGACGAGAATCCGGACTAGAACTACAGCTTTCATGGCCGTGTTGAGTTTTGATGAAATGCAATATGATATTACATGTATTAATAACAATATTATAGACTTCATGTTGTGTATTAATTAGCTATTTGGTTATGTCGAGTATCTGGACATTATTTAATCGGCAGTGTCAGGTTATATTAAATCACCACAGAGGCCATGTCTTCTTGTTTACAAAGCAGAATACAAGACCCAATATAGAGCAACCTGGAGGTTAGACCTCGAGACAACCCGAAAATTTATATTTAATTGAAAATTAAACTTTTTCAAGATGACCGGAATTGGTACATACCTTGTATAAATTCAGCTACACATTGACTTGTGAGTTTAGAATCGGATTTAGGTACGATATAAGCTTTGGGTAGTTCTCCTGCCTCGGGATCAGCTATACCGATAACAGCAGCGTCTTGTACGTTAGGATGCGTTAATAACAAAGCTTCTAATTCTGCTGGTGGAACCTGGAAACCTTTATATTTGATTAGTTCTTTAAGTCTGTCTTCTATTACCAGCACACCACTCTCATCAACATACCCTATGTCTCCTGAAATTCGTCAAAACCATTTGTTTAATTTAGAAAAATTGCAGGTTTGATTGGTCAATATGATTGTCAAAAATAAATCAAACGAACTAATCCCCGGAATCCAAATAATATGTAGAGGATTTTATTTAAATTCGTTCCCCGGCGTTGCAACCCAAAGGAGTTGCGATACGTTACTCTCAAGTTGGTATATAACAGGGCTGAGAGCAAGTTAAAATTTCTTTAACTGGTTAACGCGTTAAAAAATTTAAGTTAACGAGTTAATTATCAAAGATAATTTAAAGGAAATTGTTGTCCCATTATGGTGAAACTTAACAAATATGTCAAGGGTCAAAAGGGGTTAAATGAGAGGATGAGCCCTATTGATTCTACCTCCGCCCCATACACTTCTTGTAAAATGTGGGCGTATTTTGCATGGCAACCGCGTGTTTTAACTGGTCATAACTGATAGCAGTGAATTATTTGATGGATAAAGGACACACGGAAAGAATGTGTTAAAAACTCTATCCCGCGTAACGGAAGTGAGATGGGGTTGAAATAAAGATCGTGACCCTCGCAACTGGGAGTCTTTTTACCCAGGGATCAGTATAGAGCTACAACAGGGTTTTCTTCTGAAAGTCTACGTTCTAGAAGTCTCATTTCTATGTTAAAATCAGGTCTCGTTGTATCTAACGGCATAAACACTTGCGTGCAATGACCTGGAGAAAAGAGTACTTGCGGCCAAATTATTGGGAGGGGGTGGGCGGCTACAGTCCGCCGGCCGGGCCTGTTAGGTGGCATTTTGACGAAAACACGTTTTTTTTAAAACAAATCAAATTGTGCCCCGACCTTGACCCCGAGTGAGAGACTGGAGACCAACTTATATCTGAATGATATGTCATAAATTATGTCTATATGATGTCACAGAGTATTAACGTGTTAATTCATTTCTATTAACGCGTTAATTTCATTTATACGTTAACCAGTTAATAAGTTAACTGCCCTCAGTCCTGATATATAGGTTGGAGCATTGGACGTTAAATCCAATCCTTTTTTTTAAAACGCAGGGAAGGATCCTTAATGGTTTGGAACTTTAGAATTCATCCTTGCAAAACTAGAGCTATTCAATAGCTGTACAATGTGAGCAGTGTATAGTCACGGTTTTGCGAGGATGATTAGAAATAGACACATATGCCCAAGGTAAATTGCATGTGAATTAATAAACATGTCAAACTTTGTTGGAATTTAGAACTATCCATATTAACAACCCGACGTCAAAATAATTCAATTAATAATACCTGTATGTAACCATCCGTCTTTATCGATCATGGCGTCCGTTGCTTGTTGATTATTGAGATAACCTTTCATTACCTGTGGCCCTTTCACACAGTATTCACCTTCTTCCCCTACACCTAAACTTTTACCTGTCTCTATATCACATATCTATAAATATAAATATAGCATTGTTATAGTGTAGTTCGCGTCACACACTCAAAAACCGTGACTTTGAAAAGCGGTAATAAAAAAAGCAACATCAAGTTTTAAAAATGTCATGGTAGCTGTACCTCACACAGCATGCAGTTTGATATTGGACATACCTGGCTACATTATGATTCAAACCGGCGACCAAAGAAACTTAAATCAAATGACATGAATGAAGGTAATGATGCCATGCTTGATGCAGTACTGATAGTAACCTACCTTTCCTATTGAATTAGGTACAATTGGTCCAGTTGATCCTGGTTTACCAGGGGCATAATCAATATTAACGACGGGTGATGTCTCTGTCAAACCATAACCTACAATGTATTTTAATTACAGTCAAAATGAACCACACCTAAGGCTTTTAGCGCCAAACCATTTCGGTCTGTGTGTGTCGGAGGAGTATAACAAACCTGTGCTTAGTCGTTAGTGGGTATTTGTGAAGCACACACTTGCCCAAGCAACAAATCATTATTTTTTTTACCCATTAATACAAGGTGTCATACGAGAGTATTTTAGTCCTTCTAATTAAGTCCGTGGTATGTGGTTCAATCTCGATGTTGACCGAGAAATTTCCCGGTTACCCCTTGTCAGTAGTGCAGGACGGAGCGCATGATAAGGAGTCTAGTCGTTCGGATGGTACAAAGAATTGAGGGACCATATACACGTTATCTTGCACGTAATAGAACATTGGCAGTTCGATTCGAAATGAGAGTATACCGTAGCGCCGCTGTCCGGGAAAAATATCCCTCATAGCACACTGCGTGACGTGTGTCCGCCTTCATTAGCCCAGATGGGGCATAAATGTAGGACGCTAAACCCCATTTCATTTCATGCCCGTTAGTATGTCCAACTGACGATATAACGTTTGTCTACGACTTCTGACCTATCAGCACGATCATGCATACTGCAGGTTTCAATTAGTGTATAACTTCTCCCTTGTTTATCAGTATGTATATCAATAAAATAAACGCATAACGTTTCGAGGATGCCTGTCTCTAGCAATTTAAGGAACATATCAGTTTACTTGAGAGATATAGACTGCGATAAGTTTTCATTGGCTACTGCATCACGACTGAGCGGAAAAATAGGTCCACGATTGTTTTTTTCTGGGTGTCTATATATACTCTTCAAAAAAAGTAGGGGATATTGAAATGCAAATACCTATACAGGTTGTGATATGATAAATAGTCATGGACATTTGACATGCTTTGAGATTATATTCACAGATAAAGAACCACTGAGCTGCACATGCGACACGCAATAGCGCCCTACACGTGGGAGGGGTTCATTGTCAAATTTGACACTTCAAGGAAGAGTTGATAAAAACTGCCGCGTGCTGGTTTATCTATCCATGTTTGCTTTCCTATCGGTCCTTGCATAAGATTTACTGTTTAGCGTATCTTTGCTTTAGTGTGTTACGTTTAATTTGATCGGGAGACGTGTTCGTCGACGTCAACGTCAACCGACAACACTGCAAGAATTGGCCGTGGCACTGCAAGAGGAGTGGGTCAGATCGTGACTGGACGGTTGATTAAGAGCATGCCACGACGAATTGCTGAATGTGTGAGGATTGGTGGCGCAATTACTCATTATTAAGACAAAAATCAAAAACGTCCATTTTCACTTTTGGCGGTGTATCTCTTTGCGAGTGAAATGGGGCCGTCAGATAAGCCGCCCATATGAACTGTTTATATTCATGTGTAGGCAATTGGTCTGTTATTAACATACACTGGTTACCTCTAATAAAAACAGCAGTGCATTTCCGTAGTTTTGTATTGTTTCTGAATATCCACTACTTTTTTTTTGAAGAGTATACAACGCCAACCAGTAGCAACGTGCCAAATCTCTTTTTAATCGATAGAGAAGATATAGGTACGTTCTTGTCAAGGAGTGCCAAAGCTAAAACGAGAGTAAAGAACTGACATTGTAAATCTCTATATATGTACACGTTACCTTGATAAATGGGTGCCTTAGTTCTATCCATAAATCCCTTGCTCAAACCTTCTCCTAACGGAGCAGCACCACTAACCACAAATCTTAACGACGACAGATCAAACTGATCTACCATTGGATGTTTAGCCATAAAAAGTACTATTGGTGGAACTAGATGTAGTTGAGAAATCTGAAATAAAAACACATCAAGATTTGACAAAGATGTTTATTTTGTATTTTATTACCATTTAATGTCTACATTTGATTGTTAGGGCTAAGTTAATTAGACGTCAACGGAAAACAAAATTTAAGCCATTTTCAGAGCTAAATGCGCTTAAAACCGCAAAGTTTTCTCGGAGGCTTAGCTCCTAGACTCCGAAAGGATGGTTCTAATGACAGCTTGCTTTCCAATTGTTAACAATTATAATAGCAAAACGGGTTTAAAATATAATTTCCCAAATTTCCGGGGACCTCGTCATCTGGACCCCCTGGGAAGCTTATTATCTTGGTTCGTTTGGATTGGCACTTCCTACGACAGCTACTAAACATCACTCCGTTACAACCAGACAATCCAAGCAAGTTAAAATAAGTTTCAAGCACTCCGGCATGTGCAGCGTTTACAAAAATTGTGTAGGGCAGACAAAGGAACCGGGATTACGACATTATGTGGGCGTATTATAATCATGTTTAAAACCAATTTTATGTGATTATATATAGTTAAATACCTTGTATTCTTGTAAAGCTTTCATGAATTCTGTTGGATCAAATTTAGGTAATGTGACTAAATGACAACCCATATGTAAACAACCAAATTGTACTGGCATCATACCATATATATGATAAAAAGGTAAAATACCCAACATTACATCTTCTGTTTCTGTAATGTCCACCATGCCACTGTAAATATTAATAAGATTTTTTTTTAGTTATATTTTGTAGAAATTCAAATGCATATGCATCAAAAACATTATTTAGTTAAAACACACACGGGGCATAATTCTATAGAATATAATTACTGTTTATCACTGCTTGTTATCAAGCAATGATCAAATATATACATTGGTTGAAACTGTTGGTCATATAATACATGTATACTATTCAAAAAAAGTAGGGGATATTTGATTTTTAAGTGTTATTAAAGTCACCTAATGAAACTGACGAAGAAACAAATGACAAAATGAAATGAAGTTCACATTCATCGATTTATTCCAAATGATCGTTAGACTAAGTAAGGCACAGACTGACCATTATAAGGGTAAAATGATACCCGGGGTCAAACAGCAAAGTTACCACAGCATCACAACCAAGTCAGTAACGGGTAAATCCTCCTCTGTTTGCCAAACAAGCATTGATCCGACGTGGCATACTCCTAATGAGACGTCTAAGGTCATTTTGGTCCAGATTGTCCCATTCCTGTTGCAACGCAGCAGCAAGTTCTTGGACATTGGCAGGACGTTGTTGACGTTGACGTAACCTCTGTCCAAGCATGTCCTAGACATGCTCGATGGGGGAGAGGTCGGGACTCAGTGCTGGCCAAGGTAATGTGGTGATGTTCTGTTGTTGGAGGTAACCTGTAACGATCCTGGCCCTGTGACATCTTGCGTTGTCATCCTGGAAGATGAAACGGCGGCCATGACGTCGTGCGAACGGCACAACATGGACTGCCAAGATGTTGTCCCGGTAGTACTGGCCTGTAACACGCCCTGCAACAACATGTAAAGCCGTTCTTCCAGCAACAGTGATGCCTCCCCACACCATAACAGAACCACCCCCAAATCGATCATGTCTGATGACGTTAACGTCTTGGAAGCGCTCGTTTCGACGACGCCACACCCTCCTACGTCTGTCCAAAAAATCAACAGTGAACCTTGACTCATCTGAAAACATCACATTGCTCCAGCGTTGATTATCCCAGTGTTGACGATCCCTACACCAACGACGTCTTGCCTGAATGTGGTGATCTCTCAAACAAGGGATCACGCGAGGACGTCGGGCGCGAAGGTGACCCCTATGCAGTCGATTCCGAATCGTCTGGCCACTCACTCTCACACCAGTGTCTGTTTGAAGACGAGCGCTGATCTGATTTGCTGTGATGACACGATTTCTCAAGGCCAAGGTACGGATAAATCGATCCTGGGCTTGAGTTGTCGCCCTTGGTCGACCTGAGCGTGGTCTGTCCTGTACAGATTGTGTATCACGGTATCTGGACCATAGCCTGCTTATGACAAACTGAGAAACATTCATCGTCCGCGCCACAACCGCCTGTGTTGTGCCGATCTGTAGCATGCCAAGGGCACGTAACCTTTCATTTTGGGTAAGCCGACGCATATCAAAATTTGTTTTCTGGTCACTAAAACAATTAAACTGATGTTTCCACCCTGGAATTCAATGCCACAATGACTGTAACATTCAAAGTCAGAGTCGTGCAAATCTTGGGTTGGACCCCCATGATGATCCCAAGCATCACATGCATTCCATGCGGTAGCTATTGGTGCGTTTGGGCGTCACAAGTTACTGGAAATGTTTCTTCTGTTAGGTTCTATAGTGACTTTTTTCGTAGTCATTTGCATATTTTAGTATTATGCCCCCAAAATCAAATATCCCCTACTTTTTTGGAATAGTATATTTATTTTCACAGTACTTAGAGCAGTAGGCTTGAGCTACTATGTGCTGTATTACATTGATCTTCTTTGTCGCTCAATGAAAAATCGACCCAACCACGTTGGAATAAAATCCGCCAAATGAAAATAATATTCTACCAAACTATTTTAAATGTATCGCTAACTCCTAACTCAGTCCAAACGTCCAGAGAAGGTTTTCAGAAAAGGGAGGTGTAAGTCCAGAACGGGGTGTAGATCTAGTGTTTTTTTATTATTTTATGTTTTTAAAGAATTGCCGCTTAGTCATCGTCAGTGACAGTGTAAGCGAATTCATTATGTATTTTCTTACCTGAATTGAAGAAGATTTGATACACAGTTACTGTGTGTTAACATGACACCTTTGGGTAGACCTGTAGTACCACTTGAATATGGTAAAACTAATATATCATTCTTCACATCTATATCTACATCTGGCATACTTTTACCATCGTCATTTAATAAAGATTGGACAGGTTTACAACCCTCGCCTTCTCCAAATATAAACTTATCCTATAACAAAACAACCCGCAACAAATTATCATGAATCACACTATATACAAGCGATTATCAAGATTCTGACAGTAATAGGTCTACTAGAGTTCTTATCTATAGTCACAACGTACCTGAAAATTATTTTTATTTAACAGCAGTTGAGTCCAAAAATCATTCAATGGATTAATTCCGACTCAGGTTATGGCCAGTTAATGTTTTTTTGTTGGTTTCTATCGATTTCACACTTCCATATTATGTGTCTTAGATAAATAAAGTAATAATAGTCATGGTTTCCTGGTCGTAGAAGCATTTAAGCAATTTTTTTTCGATTCGAGGTACTGAAGCTCTTGGAGATCTCGATAAACATAAATATTACACTGAATTCTGCTTGTACCGAAACATTTTAGTAATAAACATGCAGTGAAGTAGGCCGAGAATGCAATGCGTCTGATATATCTTGCATCAATAAAAACGGAACCGAAATAGGACCTAAAATAAAATATATCGGTACCTTAATATTCTTTTTCACTGTGGAATTAAGACTGAGTGCCTTTTGTAAAACTGGTAATAACTGTGGAATTGTGAATACTGCTTGAGCTTTAGAATGTTCGAGTTGACTCGCTAATTCACCTACAAAATAATTAGAAAACCCAGAGACATTAAGACTGCGTTTGATTAACGAGAGCATCACTAACGCTGCAATATACGTCCACATTACTGCTTTGATTCATATGGTACTTTTTAAAATAAAATAGGCGTGACACCGCCCCTAGCCGGTCGGGACATGCACCAAAATAAATAGTTGCTATTCTTACGATATAAGAAATAAATATCCAAAGTTTGAAGATGATCCATTCAGATTCAGAATTCCAGCTTGTAGACAAAAAACGCAGAAATTGGGCGTGGGTCTGTCCCTGGGGGTTGGACATGGACCAATATTAATAGGTACAACCCTATGATGGATCATACTGAATTGGATCCAAATATGTTAATAATTGCAACCTGTAGATTATTTAGAGACAAAATATTAACAAAAATCCACAGTTGCTGTGCTTGGCGTATAAGGAATAAATATACTAAGTTCCAAGATAATCCATCCATAGTATGTGGCCTTCAGACGCCAAACACACAAACAATGGGCATGGCTTTGTCCCTGGGGTCGTGACATGCACCAAAATCAATAGTTGCCGCCCTTAGGCTATAAGGAATACATATGCCAAGTTTGAAGATGATCCATTCAGAATACGATAAACACAAAAATTATGTGTAGTTCTGTCCCTAGGAGTCGGGACATACACCAAAACCAATAGTTGCCGTCCTTATAGGCTATAAGGAATACATATATCAAGTTCCAAGACGATCCATTAAAAATTGTGGCCTTTAGGCAACACACACACATAAAGCCAAAATGGGTGTGGCTCAGCCCCCTCCTCCTGGGGGTCGGGCAACAATAGGATCATCCTTAGGGTATACGGAATAAGTATGCAAAATTTCAAATTGCGGCGGCCTGTAGGCGACACCAAGACGCACACAAAACTTGGGCGTGGCTCTGTCCCAGGGGGTCGAGCATGCAACAAAAATAATAGAGGTCATCCTTAAGTTATAAGGAATAAGTATGAACATTTTTCAAGACGTTCCATTAAGAATTACGGTCTGTAGGCGACACACAGGCACACAAAGAGAAAATGGGCGTGGCTCTGCCCCGTTGGGCGGGGTGGGGTGTGTAGGCGTGCACAAAAAACATTAGAGGTGATCCGTAGGGTATTTAGGGTATAAGGAATAAGTATCCAATAAGGAATAAGGTGATCCGTTAAAAAATGCGTCCTGTATATGACAAACAACCAAATAAACAAAATGGGCGTGGCTGTCCCTGGGGGGTCGGATATGCACCAAAAACAATACAGGTCATTCTTATGGTATCGGGAATAGGTATTCAAAGTTTCAAGAAAATCCATAAAGAATTGTGCCATGTAGGCGACCCACACACATACACACACCCATACCCCCCCCCCCCCCCCATGAATGTGGACGTATAACAAGGCACCTGTTATCAAACAATATGAAACAGAGAAAATCAAGTTAAATCCCTAACGATATTGGATATTATTTTCAGATATGATATGATAATAGCTGTCGTAACTCATTTTGGATCAAGGCGTGGGTTATCAGATCTATGTACGGACCCACAAAACTTGGAAGACGTATCGGATTTTGGGGCAACATCCCAAGAACTCTCTTTTCAATACACGGTTTTCAGCAAACTTCTTCCGGGGTTTATATCGATCTCATTATCTCTTTTTGGTTTTCTTTAGGTGCAACATTTCACGGGCATTACTTTAGCGCCTGGCGGCAAATGATCTGTGCAATTGATGTCCTGGCGGGAGCTTTGTACGTTTTACGTCGAAATAACCAAAAATTGAACATTTCACGGACATTACTTTAGCGCCTGTGCAATTGTGCAATGATCTGTGCAATTGATGTCCTGGTGGGAGCTTTGCACGTTTAACGTCGATATAACCAACAAATTTAACCGTTAAGGTCAACAACTAACCTGCTGTATATGCTGGGTTAGCTGGTGTTATTATAACTCCTATAGAAGCTGCTGCTATCATTAATATAGAATATTCTGGCATATTGACACTAAACACAGCTATTACATCTCCTTTCTTATAACCCAATTTAGTCAAGGCACTGGCCACTTTTACTGCTGAAGCTTTTACCAGGCTGTAAGTATAGCTTCTACCAGATGAAAAATCTGTCTGAAAAATTATAACCAATGACATATTTATTAGTATATTGTTTAAAATGAATTAGCCTACTATTGCATTTGTTTCGGAGATTTAGATTAAGAGTCATTCCAATAATCTGCATTTATACTAACCACAGATCCTAACAGAGTATGATTGGTGTCAAACGTACATAACTGACATAAAGATTACAAGTTTAGGACGATAATTGGTATCTTACCACTGCTGGTAAATCTCGGTATTTATCACATTTAGAGAACATATATTCAGCAAATGATATATTAGGTATATCAATATCCGATGCTGGACTCTTGAAAGTATTATCTTTTGTCCATACACTCATTGTTCTATTTTGTAGTAAACGCGATTGGGTCAGGGGCGTAATTGGACGTTTATATCTTTTAGTGGCTGCCTCAGCACACCAGAGCAACGCCCTTCCTGCTCTTGCCAGCTTCATATTACTTTATTCTGAAAATAGAAAATGAAATAAAATATAAAAGCGCAACAAAAAGTGGTTAGCTACACGAACTCGTCAAAAAATGTTGTACCAGATGTTCTAGAAATGTACGAAATTCACGAAATACGACTACCGGTAAGTGCAGACACGTGTCCCAAGAGAGCAGGTTTGCTATTATTATTTCTCAAAAATTTTAGAAATTTTACAAGGTGTCTGTGACAAGGCCAACAAATAAGATGTATCTTTGGGCTTTCAAATGTTTTAATCTGTCATATTTACAAAGAATTAAAATAAGAACACCCCTGTGACCTTAATATATATTATTTACCAACACGGTATTCTTCAAGGCTAGCATATTATCTTAAGTTTGGTTTCCTTGTACAACTTGGAGTGAACTAAATGACTAAAATCGATGGTGGTTCCACTTTTAAAATTTCAGTGTTGGTCAAAATGAATCAAAGAAAAAATAAAAGAAAGACACCTGTGTGATGAATTAAAGTCATTAATGCAGTACGTTACCCTCTTAACTCACCCTGACAAATAGTAATGTTTACCTTGCTCTACATTTTAATATTATAATTTAAATAAGATATGGTTGTTGGGAGCCTTGATACTAGTAGTCAGTGAATGATGTATGCGGGTTATAAACCTTACCAAGTTTCATTAATACTGACAGCAAAATAAACGATGCCCCAGAAGAAGAAAAAAAACTGTGGAGATGGTGTTAACCCGTAGATTAACATCTTTATTTAATTTATATTAAAAAGTTAAGACGTGTCACGAGAAAAGCCTAACACAGACTCGATCGGCTAAACCATTATTCCCATTAAATACAAGTACTTTCAACTTGATTGCTCTGATTATGTATCATTGATAGCAGATCTGGTAACTGCGGGATACAGCAGTCTGTTGTAAGTGGATATGTTTCCTCTACCGAAAAAAATATCCCCTTGGGCGTGCCACAGGGGCCTGTTCTCGGTCTACTTATTTTTCTTATTTATATAAATGATATTGTGAATGATATCACATCTGTAAATGTTCGATTGATGACCCTACTCAGTGACCAGGAAAAAAATAATTCATGGGCTAATTCTTTAACCCACTAAAACACCAAATCACTATCACTGACAACTACAGCAAATCCTGTTTTACTTATCCTTGCTCTAAATTGAGGTATTAGTAGCAAATATTGGATTGTGAAGCTCGAAGGTCAAAGTGGTTACTATTAGGACTACTTGGCACTGTACTGTATTATGTAGGCCTACCATTTTACTTGTAGAAATGTCAAAAGTAAGATGACATATTTGGTAACTAAAAGAAGTAAGGTATTGAGATACAATAAAACTTCGAAAACCGACTAATCAAAAAGAGAATCATATTGCTTTATGACCATCACCATTCACAATCGCCCCACCTCTCCCCCGCTTCAATAGTTCTATAGCAGGTATCAGTAACAAACACGAAACTTGCACAGAATTCCTTGGACAATCCTAATGACACCACAGCGTTATCCATGCTGTATCATGATTGGAATCAAAATCTGCTTACCACAGAATGGCCGAAAAGCACAACCGTAACGCTGCACTACTTTGTTTCACGGTAAACGATGAAAAGATAAAAGCTATGCCGACACAAACTGATTTCAACACTGGATTAATAACATTTTAACGTTTTAAAGTACTTTTCGTCCACACGACACAAACTAGGTCATTTCGGAACTAAATTATGGTTCAATTTTAATTCAATAATTCGCTTGCGCGTAGGGTCTTTAGTAGTGGGAGGAAACCGGGGGATCCGGAGAAAACCCACGAGGTTGGACAGGCGACCCTATTCCTTGTCTCGTACAACCGGGAAATCGAAACCACGCTTGTTAACTTAAAGACAGACCTTGTGATACAGCGCACACGCTCTAACCGTTCGGCCATCCAACCACCCGTCATCAATATAATAAGCCCGACAAAAGTATATTCTTTCGGTGTATGTCCATCATATAGATGTATAACATGATTATTATAAGAGTTTAGAATGTAAGTACATGTGCACGTATATCGTTAATGACATCACGGTGGATCAATGTAAATTAACAAATTCTAGGGGAGGGGCGTCTATTCTACACAAACTACGTCATTACGGGACTACTATATCTTTATTTCAATAATTCGTTTGATTGCAGATACCCCGCCCCCTTTTTACAATGGAAATTCTGATACAGGAAAGGTTTTACCTAGCTCATTAGTACAGTCATTTGGATTAGACGAACAATAATATCCTTTTAGCAGCCCTACATTTACACGTATTCAACTTTAGATGGCATTTAATAATACTGATTGTTAGTAGTTGTTAATAATCACGTGACACTTCATCTTAATCTCTCTTTAACAAGCCAATTCTTACATAATGAGTTTACCGTACTGCATTGTTAACATGCTAAATCGCATTAATTAAAAAAATATCCACCACACTAACCTAAGACTGGATAATTACCCCCCAGGCGAATTCACACATGGTTTTTCTTAAGGAAACGCAATAAAAGACACGTGTTTACGTTACATAAGTATTACTAAGTTAAGGAGAATGAATGAATGAATGAATGAATTTTAACCTCTTGCTTTTCTGCAGGATAATGCAGATAGGAAATTTTGTTGGGGCAGTAACTGAATTCCAACTGTCAAGAGTCAAAGGCTATTTTACGAGCATGCCATAGTGTACACAAAGTGTGTGGGGGGGGGGGCAGGGTCACGCCGGAATATTTCCAGGAACGTCCTACTCGTGGCTTTCAGTTAAAGACAATCCTGTGTGATAATACGTAACGGTCAATAAATATATAAATAATTACATGTGATTCAAATGCAACCTACGGCTTTGGACCACAAAAAGAACGGGTAATACGCTTACGGTGGTCTTTGTAGCCACCATTAATAGATAGATCTTCTACGGTATGACGTTTCGTTTCGCGTGATCAGCTATTAGTTATATTTTGCCATTGCCAAAAAAATAAATCTTGACATTTGGCTAGACATTAACACGCCACTGACGCCAGATAATATGAATTTAAGTTATTTAAAGTAGCTAAGTCCGTAACTCAATATCATCCAAAATCTTCGACATTGAAAACACGATTTTTTTTGCAATTTAAATCAGCATTGGTGTTGTGATCTTACCTGGAAAAGATGGGCTTCTGATATCCAATATTTAAGACAAAATAAACATTTTACCAGTGGTACACGAATCGTGTACCATAATGCGTTTCAGCGCCATTTGTAACAAGGTGCTCAAAGAATGAGGCGAGACATATTCCACAAGTCATGTCAAACGGTGATATCATATTTCTATTTGGAGAGCATGCGCAATAAATAATATAGGTGTTGACTGGAGTAACCAGACGCTAGAAACTGACTTGCGATTGAGACTTCTGGCGTATTTCGCCGAACATAACTGATGACAATTCACAGTAAAACGGAGACGATTGAATCTAAAACAGTTTATATAAATTCATATTACATTATTATATGTGCTGGGCTGCGACCCATCTGTGCCAACTTATAGGTCCAAAATATTAGGGATTTAGCTCCTTTAACATTCTGCAGACTACATTTTTCAGTAATCCTTCAAACACCACTGCCTGTCAAGATGTGATTTGACTTGTAAGGAATATATCTTTAATTGTCTACAAATTTGGCTTAATCCGGAGTAATCCCGAGCTTCGGATTATCCGTAGATAAATAATGTACATGTTTATTATTAATAATTTGTTTCAGTACACAGTCGTTTTAACAAGTTGTTTTGAAATAACAGAAACACGTATATATTCATTGATTTTAACGCCAATACTGTCTGTTGACAGTAACCCCCCACCCCCACAAAAAGGCTTTTAATTACGATAACCTTGGAGAAATACATATACATGTATACGATATAGGGGTCCCATCGTTTTAAATTATTTTGACAAAAGAGATAATTAAGTACGCAAGTCCTTTAACTTGACATATATACGACGGACATATAAGTATTTTCAACATTAAGGTTTGAGAATTACACGTATATATACTATTGATTAATCTCTGGAAAATTCAAGATAAAGTATGACGTACGTATGGCAAACAATAACGAAAGCCTGTTTAGATAAAGTCCAGAAATAACCCTGCAGCATGGCACCATTGCTCAGTCTATTTATGTGATAACTCCGTTCAAAGTTCGTTTTTACAATTAGGTTATGGTTAGCGTATAGTATGTTCAGTTTAGATTGTACAGACGGATTCTACAGGTAAATATAGGTGACCTAAATACTTTTCAAGTTTAAAGTCCACTTGCTAACAAAAAATACTAGTAATACGAGCATTGTAAAAGATATCAAAAGTACACAAAAATCTATTACTGCGTTGCGTTCATCAGTCAAGAGTGTAAATAGAAATGGCGACCTACTATAAAGTGAATTTTTTATTCAAAAGAAAAATCCGGTCACATTTCAAATGATACCGTAGAAAGAACGACAGTGTTACAACAAGTGAAGATTAAAATTTAAACTTAAATTTACATCTAACATATCGGTACCGCATAGTGCATTTAAGATTGTTAACTAACGACACGGGTATTTATTCAATTTTTTCGGTTAATCGATAGATTAAAAGCTTAAAAGAAGAACTGATATGACAATAACCTTTTTGCAATATATTGAACATTATAATATGTATAAATTCATTATATATTGAAACCCCCAAAAAATTCACAAAAAACCCCCAACAAAAAAAACAAACAAAACATGCTACAGTTAATGTTCATGTTACCAAACAATACTATGGACTTTCTTAAGTTTATCGAACTTTATCACTTGATCAATCGATCCTATTACAATCCAATTTAATTACATGTTGAATAAATAATTTAAACAATTATTACTTAATACTAAATGAAAAAAATATCTTCTTACCTTTAAGCAGGCGTGGTATTAAGTGGCTATTCTGTAATCGTTTATCAAGTCGTGTGACGTGTAGTCTATCTCCCCATACGTATCACAAGACTGAAATATAGCCCAGTATCGAGGATTCCGCAACCAATCTGACCAATCGTACCAACGCCGAGAACTCTTATTTAGTTTCCTGAATGGTTAACAAGCGGAAAAGGGGATGACCTTCACCCTGCTAATTCAATGAACTGTTACGTTACCAATACCATTGACAACAACTGGTAACACGCTCTTTGTCAGAAACACTGCCTAAAGATCGTCACACAAAGGATTACCAGAAACTAAATGTGTAGTACTTTCTTAACTAAACATGGAAAAAGGTGTCTCGCATATTGATTGGATTTTTATAGGACAGTCTGCCTTTAATTCCTTAGAATATATTTAAAAATAATAATATGTAATAAGAATAAGAAGAATATATTTAACAATAATGATAATATATTTAATAAGATATTTAAAAATAATAATGTACCTAATAATAATATATTTAATAATAATAATAATATATTTAATACAAAAACAAAATTATGTAGATGACAGTGGCTGATAATATCATGACAAGTTAAAATTTTGACGTTATCTGTGAAGGAAGTGTTGGGGGGAGAGAGAGAGCGAAAGAGAGAGAGAGAGAGTGAAAAGAGGGAGAGAGAGAGAGAGAGAGAGATGAGGTTTAAATTCCATCCGACACAAACAAGGTTATTTCTGGACTAATATATATATTTCAATTTTATTTCAATAATTCGTTTGCATTGGGAGGAAAGGCGACCCTACTCCATCCCCCCCCCCCTCCTGCGTGCGCGTTAAAGTCTGTTATTGAGTTATTGTTCCGAGTTCCCGCTTGCACAGGACAAGGAGTAGGATCACCTGTCCAACCTCGTAGGTTTTCTCCGGGTCCCCCGATCTCCTCCCACTGCTAAAGACCCCTACGCTCAAGCGAATTGTTGAAATAAAATTGAATCATATGTTAGTCCCGAAATCACCTAGATTGTGTCTTGTGGACGTTAAACCCCAACCGAAACATGGCGTCCGCTTTTGATATTATTCTTCTAAAATACGTTTCATATCTCAGTTTTGTTGAGGTAAGAGGATATCACACGTCCAGTTCCATTTCGTCCCGGGCCATTGCCAAAAAAAAAAAAATAATAATAATATATTATAGGGCAAATAAAATCTGTTAACCCTTTTTGCTCCTGAGAATATCAAGTGGCGTTTCCCAATGGACTTTCTGTCAACTGTCGCACTTAGCAATATTCCAACCAAGACGCATTATTGTTCACAAGCTGAATACCATATACATGTATCGCAAAAAAAAGCTGTCACACTAACGAACCATTTAAAAACTTTTGAAATAAAACAATTAACAGCACTTTCCAAACCTGATCAAACGTTTTCATTGGACAGTAGGTTCTGTTGCCCCACAGCCCACGTAGACTAAAATATCAATTTATCCTTGATGATTATGAGCATTATTTTGTGATGAAAATGAGAGACAAGTCAAAACTGGCTCATTGTTTATAATTATTTCTAACTGGACTTTTATTCAAACAATTACTAGTTTCGTAAGGTCTATATTTTGTGACTTTGAACTTGCATTCTATCAATTAATTAATGTATACCACGTTTTTGGCTTGGGAAAAATGGGCGTTTTTGGTGGCGCCTACCCTTAGCCCGAATCTTTTTTAATCCAGTCCTGGTTATTAGAAATACAAAGTACAACAGACAGAAATAGATATTTAAAAAAAGTACACGCAAATAAAACTACCACTATCACGTTTTTATATTTCTGTTATCAAACCATTAATATACACGTCCACGTCTTAGCGAAGATCTAAAATTAAAGCTATGTTTACGATGTTTATCTTTGTGGGTAGATCGTTACTTTTTTTAATTTTTCCGATTTGCTGATAAAAAATTGACTGTTAAACGTTTGAAGATGAACGTCGGTGACAGATATTTACCAAATTCGTCATCTTCTTTCCAGAAAAAATCGAGAAATTGGATTAGATTTTCAACTTTTTGATAAAAATTTAACAGTGTAAACCTAAGATCGGCTAAAAGTTAAAATAAAGTCAAGGCGATGATAAAAACAATTGAACTATGCTACTTGAAAGCTTCCCATTATATACTTATAGATAACGGTAAGAGTGATAAAATGTGGTTGACTAGTCGGCTTATTATTGACCTATTTAAATGTCTGATCGTATTTTTTTTAAAAAAGCCATAAATACAGACAATCCCCTTGGACTAAACATATGTATTATAACACCCGAAGACGCATATTAAAGGCAAGCAGATTTAGATTATGGCTTCATGTATCCGAAGAATTAAGTAACAGCGAGATCGAACACGGGACCCCCGCGTTACCGAGCCAACATATAGCTCACTAGACCACCGCGGCTCCAATTTTAAAACATAGACAATTAGTCAAAAACCAAAAAACGCCCATCCAACAGTATCTTCAACTTCAATAGAAGGCTTGATCTCGCTTTAACGCCGTACATCTTATCAGGGCCTTCACGTAATACCCTGCATATTTCTGCACTAATTTCGATTGGGTATTCACCCAGCTTGAGAGCCTATCACATTCCTCGATCATCGCGAATACAAGTCTCTCACTCTCCCGCTAAAATGTCTACCTGTAATAATCGAGTTGCAAAGTTCAAGGTTCGTTCAATGTCAAGGTTTCGGTGGAGGTCGCTATTTTTGATTTGAGTGCGTTAGTGTCACAACTTCTGATTGGAGGCCACTGTTGACGTGTCTGCAGTAAAGGGAGAAAACGTAGCTATATAAGTTCAAGAATTGCAAAGTAATCTAGCAACGCCCAGATGTTGTAAACCCCACAGTCGTTGCTTCAGGAACACGATCAAATAGCAGCAAAATCATCCGCTTTAGCGCTACCATCATTGTCAACAAACCCGCAGAGCAAAAACATCCAATCAAATCTGTCCCAAGCTTTAAAAGTCAAAATGTGAACTTCATCCGCTATCGCGTTCAAAAGCGTTAACAGTCAAAACGAAATTGGATATAGGGTTCTTACCTATAGTATATACCCCAATGAACAACATCAACAAGGTTTAAAACAAAATGTCGATGAAATGAAGTGAAATGAAATGGGGTTTAACGTCCTACTGTTCTGCTCTGAACTGGGCATACGCCATACAGTGTGAATGATTTTTAGTGAAAAGAGCCACATAGCGGTCGGTAATTGATTACAGCAAAATAAACTATATAGGTTCAACCAGTTCCTGATTATCCAGATAAACTGGTGTATTCTAGGTCACTATCACCACTTCCTATATATGCGGTTTTTAATTTTTGTCATCGCAGTTATGAGAATCAAATAATGTTGAATTATAAATATGCAGGCAGTGCATTCCAGTACCGGTTAAAGCCGTTTAAATTCATCTCACCTGTTATTGTTAGATTGCAATTTGAACTCATTAAGTAATAGATTAACAGTTTAAAACAAACTGGGATAGTCCGATTGGGTTTGTTACATAATTCCTATTCGTCGGCTTTTCGGGTAGAAATCGTGGAATAAGCTTTATTTTGAAGGTTTCGATATTTAATGACAAAAAAACAATGTTGACATTTTTTTCTGAGTAGGTCCATGGTATGGGAGGCCATTATCAGAGGGTAGCCATTTTCGATAATATTCCAACTTATTTTTTTTTATTTTCACCCTATTTATTATGTTATCGACATATCAACTGTGATTTGGCACTGCATTAGTATTCACAGGGGTCATGACTAAATTTCAGATTTTTCCCATCACTTCATGAAGATATTTCCAAGATGGTGGCCATTTTTGGCGGGAAAATCGGACGATGTCCTTATTTCGTAGAAGTAGTAGTGTTTGGTGTTAATAGATATGTTTTCGGGGGCACAGATTCAATTTCTGCCAGTTACAACTGTGTAAAATGGTCACATGTCGACCTATTTTTCATATTTCCAAGATGGCGGCCATTTTTTGGCGGGAAAATGGGACGATGTGCTGATAATGATTAAGTGGTCGTCTTTGGTGCCAATATATATCCTTTCAGGGGCACAGATTCCATTTCTCCCAGTTACGACTGTTTAAAATGGTCACATGTTCATCTAGTTTGCATATTTCCAAGATGGTGGCAATTATTGGCAGGAAAATGGGACGGTGTTCTGATATTGATTTAGTAGCCGTGTTTGGTGTAAATATATTTGTTTTCGGGTCGCAGATTCCATTTCTGCCGTTTACAACTGAGTAATATGATAAAGTTCACATATTTAGCATATTTCTAATATGGCTGCCATTTGTGTCTGGAAAATGGGACGATGTCCTGATTTTGAAACGGTTTCTGAATCCAATTCTGCTATGTATAAGCTTGTAGCACGTGCCTGGAAGCCATTGCCGTGTTTTACCCATTAGGTATATTATCCAACGATGAAAATTTCTCAGCCGAGTTGACCACTGAGCTAATATTGATTTTCCAGGAAAAAAGTGCATTTACTTGGTCGATCAGTCTGATTTTAAGACTTGGTGGCGCCATCGAGACTTTCAGTTTATGTTGTCTGTCAGTTATAGATACAAAATTAACGGTGGTTAAAAATGTGAGACTTGCAACAAAAATTATGATATTAAATATAAAGCGATATACAAAGAAATAAAAACAAGGACTGCAAATGAAATAGTAACACTTGCTATAAAAATCGTGGCATAGATTAAATTATCAACTGACATAAAGCTGCGTGTGGAAGGAGTCGTCCAAAGGAATGCTGTTGCAAACAAACTATATCAATTATATGACCTGTCATCTATGACATCACTGCCATCGCCATTGAAAGAACTGGTGGTAGTGATGTAAAAGTAGCCAGCCACGTCGTTGTGAAAGTGATGACATACTTTATGTTTCCAACGCAACAGCATTCCACATGCTCGTTCCACATTCAGCTTGGAAGTCAGTTGATAACAATCTATGTCACGAGGGCTTCTTAGCAAGTATTTCATTTACAGCCACCTCCCCGGCACCTTCAACCATGTTGCCACCAGGCTGGAACGAAGCTCCTGGCCACATGCTTGCTACGCTGTTACGACCTTTTTGTATATACATGTATAAGGAAGTTACTGAGCCTTTTCCATCTGTTCCAGTCTAGCATTC